AGGGCCTACTTACCCAGGCAGATTTCCTTATCTTTCTATGCTCATTCATTACTCAGCCACTACCGGTATGTATTTTCTACCAAAATTGTTTGACACATGTCATTTATTTGTAATGTTGAACATTCAGTGTGACTTTTGTTGGATTCTGTGAGAATTTATTTTCTATATTCTTTATTTATTTATTAACCAGAACTCAAGTTTATCTTTAATGTAAGGTATCACAATGCAAGCTAATGCCATTATACAAGTGTAAACCTCATTTTTGTTCCAATATTATGCAATTATTAGCTCTGCATGTTTGTTTTGCAATTCGCTAATTCTGAAAGATTCTGGTTATGTCAAAGCTAAAATAATTTTTGTTTTCCTTATTTGCGGTGTCTCAAATTTATATATGTTATTCTCAAGAAAGGCTTCAAATCTGAAGAAGTTCAATAGAATAGAACTTAATTAAAAATTAGTATAATTACAATATATGTTGATATTCTGTTTGTCTTTGGATTGAATTCCTTATTCCCAATTACAAAAAAAAAATAATGTAGAGACAGTATTAGAGAAGTGAATTAGACAGACAATGATGAGGGAAGTGAGACAGAGATTAGTGAATGGGAAAGATAGATGGAGATGGTGGTAATATACAGACATGGTAATGAGAGATGTGGGATAAGAAGAGGAGAGAGTGAGGGAAGAGACTGGGAGGAAGAGATGGAGACGAGAATAAAAGGAGAGGGGCAAAAAGAGGAGGGATAGAAATGGGGAGGGAAAGATAGAGAAGATAATGAAAGGAGAGGGAGAAAATGAGGGAAGAGATTAAGATGGGGAGGAAAAGATGAGATGAGAATGAAAGGAGAGGGGTAAAATAGGAGAGATAAAGATGGGGAGGGAAGGATGGAGAAGAGAATGAAAAGAGAGGGAGAATAAGAGGAGAGATAGAGATGGGGAGGAAAAGAGGGAGATGAGAATAAAAGGAGACGAGCAAAAAGAGGAGAGAGAGAGAGATGGGGAGGGAAAGATGGAGAAGAGAATAAAAGGAAAGGGGAAAAAAGATGAGAGATAGAGATGGGGAGGGAAAGATGGAGAAGAGAAAGAAAGGAGAGGGAGAAAAAGAGGAGAGATAGAGATAGGGAGGGAAAGTTGGAGAAGAGAATAAAAGGAGAGGGGCAAAAAGATGAGAGATAGAGATGGGGAGGGAAAGATGGAGAAGAGAATGAAAAGAGAGGAAGAAATGAGGGAAGAGATAAAGATGGGGAGGGAAAGATTAAGAAGAGAATGAAAAGAGAGGAAGAAATGAGGGAAGAGATAAAGATGGGGAGGGAAAGATGGAGAAGAGAATGAAAAGAGAGGAAGAAATGAGGGAAGACATAAAGATGGGGAGGCAAAGATGAAGAAGAGAATAAAAGGAGAGGGGCAAAAAGATGAGAGAGAGAGAGATGGGGAGGGAAGATGGAGAAAAGAATGAAAAGAGAGGGAGAATAAGAGGAGAGATAGAGATGGGGAGGCAAAGATGAAGAAGAGAATAAAAGGAGAGGGGCAAAAAGATGAGAGAGAGAGATGGGGAGGAAAAGATGAAGAAGAGAATAAAAGGAGAGGGGCAATAAGAGGAGAGATAGAGATGGGGAGGAAAAGATGGAGAAGAGAATGAAAGGAGAGGTACAAAAATGAGGGAAGAGATTAAAGGCACACTGTCCTACTTGTAGCTACTTGCTCCCTCTATATAGAAAACTTCCCCAATCGGTGCCTGTTGGTCCCCCATGAACCTCTTTTTCTTATGTTAAATGAGAGCTGAGTTAATGAGATAGCCACCTGTCACAGTGACCTCGCTGGCTCGCTGGGCGGTCTAATCCCTTCTTGCTGAAGTAGTAAAGCCTACCTTTAAGATGGGGAGGAAAAGATGGAGATGAGATAGAGAGATGGGGAGGGAAAGATGGAGAAGAGAATGAAAAGAGAGGAAGAAATAAGGGAAGACATAAAGATGGGGAGGCAAAGATGGAGATGAGAATGAAAAGAGAGGTACAAAAATGAGGGAAGAGATAGAGATGGGGAGGAAAAGATGGAGACGAGAATAAAAGGAGAGGAGCAAAAAGAAGAGATAGAGGTGGGGAGGGAAAGATGGAGAAGAGAATGAAAAGAGAGGAAGAAATAAGGGAAGACATAAAGATGGGGAGGCAAAGATGGAGATGAGAATAAAAGGAGAGGGGCAGAAGAGGAGAGAGAGAGAGATGGGGAGGGAAGATGGAGAAAGTTAGTATATTTGCTAACAAAACTGACAAATTCGATAAAAAATGGATAAATTTTGAGAGGATTTTGATCCTTTAATAGGAGTATATTGAATTTCCCACATCATTTTCAGTCATGATGTTGCATTATTATTTAATTTTTGTTTTTCTTTCCCTTATCTACATGTATGTTCTGTATATACAGTATTATGGTTGATATTCGTTATGTATATCTTATTATGAAATATTGTATGATATTCATTGGAACATGTGTTCAAATATGTTATCTTCAGATTGATTTTCAATAAATGGCCTGTTGGAGGGTCCAAAAAATGGAAGAAAAAAAAAAAGATGGAGAAAGAATGAAAAGAGAGGGAGAATAAGAGGAGAGATAGAGATGGGGAGGGAAAGATGGATTAGAGAATAAAAGGAGAGGAAGAAAAAGAGGAAAGGAAGAAAAAGAGGAGAGAATACAAGGATACTAAATGAGAGGGAGAGAACAGGAATTGAGAGGAAAGATTGTGAAGAAAAATGGGAGGGGGGGGGGGGGGCTAGAGCATAGATGTACAAAAAGGGAGGATGTGAGGCATAGATATGATGGGAGTCTTGTTATGCGCATTATCAGTTTCAATTTGTTACCATTAAGAAAAGGATGAGGGAAGAAACCAAAGAGATTGAAAAGAAGAAAGATATTGGGTACAAACATGGAGAATGTGGAGGAAAAAATATACTAGTGCTTATTCTTTGAATATCATAGATGTGTGATAGCCATAAAGGGATTGGGTAACTTTGTCTCAGATTCTGATAATTATAAACCTTAAGGTCAGTCAGGAACCCCACAACTTTTACAAGCCGATGGCCTGTCTGATTATCATGATATTTGTGATTGGAAATCGAAATCAAATTTAGCGTTACGAGTATGATAAAACCGGTCACTCAAAGATTTTTACTTTTTTGAGGCACTTCATGATCATTTTGAAGCGCAATTTTGTTTAGGGCTCTAATATTACACCATATCAAAGACATGTGATAACACCAGGGATGCCAACCTTTCAGAGCACAAATCCGTAATCATAAGGCTAAAAATCCGTAATTTGGAGACAAAATCCGTAATTTTCTGCGCGACGCAAATTTTTCTGCACGCTGGCAAGCGCAGCTCCCGCAGGCAAGCGCGATAGCACAACAAGTTAAATAAAAGTAACATAGTCTACCTGTTCATTAGTTGGTGCTACACGATGCATTTCCATTTTTTACTGTATTCTTCTTTAAAAGTCTGTAACTTCTTGCCACGCTTCTTAGTTGTGGAAGACATGATGATTGATATCTAAATCCAACCAACATGAGTTCAGATTGTCGACGAAAATCGACGAACGCTGCGAACGCTGTGACAGCCTGTGAGAAATCCGACAGTGTACACGGCGCTAGCGTAGCGAGGCCTGGCGCTGGGCATGGGCGGGCGGTAGCGGCGCGGCCAAGAGAGGTATTTCACCCGGCCCCCGCTCGCGAAGCACATGTTGTATGCACATGTATGCACTGAAAGGGGTGTGCTAGATAACAAATTGTCCAATCGGAAGCCCTGTGGGATTTCTATGCATGGATTCAAGGATGGCTGCGCTGCAATAGTCAAAAGTACGTGCTAAACCTTAAACGTGCTAAACCTTAAAGTGCTAATTTTGAAAATCGGCAAAATTGGCAAAATCCGGAATTTATGGTATGAAAATCGTACCGCCCGTAATCGGCCGATTTCCCGTAGAAATTACGGGAAATCCGTACTAGTTGGCATCTCTGTAACACGTAGGGCCATGCATCTCAGATTTAACATTGTTAAATGATGCCTTTATGAGAGGACGAGAGAAGGGGGGGGGGGGGGGGAGAGGGTTACGAATAATAGAAAAGAATGAAGAGACAGGAGGAGGTAGGAGTGAAGGTAAGAGAGATGGAGAGAGGAAAAGAGAGAGAATGACAAACAATTGAATGAGAAAGACGAGACATTGGCGCTATGGAGAAAAATGACAAGCTGACTTGACTGAAGATGAAAAAAAGGGAACGTCACCAGTCTAAAACAAAAAGATACACTAGATTCCCTCCATTCTCTTTTTATCTTTACTATTGTCTTTATCCGATTCTCTCCTTTATTTCGCTCAAAATATCTTCCTCTTTCTCTCCTCTCATCTCTTCCCTCACTCTCTCTCTTTGTCCCTCTACATGCATTGATATCCCCCTCTTCCTGGTCACTCCTTCACCAATTCCATCAAATATCCATTTCTCAAGTACTGAAATTCCAGTAACAATGACATGCACATAACCATGTGAAAGTTGCGAGCATCCAATAGCTGCCACAAAAAAAACTTATCCCAACACCGAGGTGGTTTTTGTGATACTACTGAAAGCTGCCTGCTGCAAAACGGCCATCATTAACAATTACAGCAGTTCCATTTTGAGGTTTTACAGTATGGAAGCTAATATTTGATCTTACCCCTCCCATCCCTTTCCTTCTATTGATCTTGCTACAGCAGCATATATCACATTTCAAAGGTAGCATCATTGATTACCACAAGCAAATGTACCTGAATTGTAGTTAATTTAACAAAAATGTGAACGGGTACACTGAGCCACACATAGAGTTTTGAGGCTCATAATTGTTGGGAAGTACCTGTATGTCAAATTCTGTATGTTTATCTAGCACATTTTCTACTTCATATCAATGAAACTACCTTTGATCTCTTTCATATCATATTAAACATTTCTTCACAGTAAATTAATTAAAATGTACAAAACAACAGCAAATTCACAGTTCAGAAATTTATTAAGTCAGGAAAGAGTCTTCTGTCTCCTGAGATAGCATGGTAGATGGATTGAGATAATCAACAAGACTACATCTAACAAAACATTCCTTACCATCAAATTTGCATAATAAATGTATGTACAAAATTAAGAAACACATTTCAGTAATCATCATAGAACCAATGCTCTTCTCAAAGTGAAGGCAAGAATAAGATTCAAATAGCAGTAATTGCATTAACATGAAAGTATGTATTTACATGTAGGTTTGATGTCTCTATTATTGATGTGTATGGTTGATTTCTTTACGTTCAATGAAGTCCTCTTATAGGTTTTTTGTAATCTTAGAATCCCTTCTTTTATATGTGCGATATATATTGATTATATTTTCACTAGAGGGAGTATCTAAAAACATGAACTTCAATTTTCTGCTTTAACTTCTTACAGGTATGATGACTTACTGGTTCAATAACGTACACATAAAACACAACACATCATATACAGCACAATGATATTCACCGTTTGACTTTTTACCTCCGGATCACTTTTAGTAAAAGCTGCTGTAAATCTACTGAAATGACACACAATTTATCAAATACTAAAAGAAAATGTGTAGTGGTGTATCCAGAAGCAAAGACTAGATTCATAACAAATCCTGATGTCGGAATGTTTTTCAACTGTAAAACGGACACATGGAGACTAATTAAGAATGCAAAATTATTTTCATGATTACTAGTAAACAAATATCACAATGGACAGAAAACCTCACTGACATACCAAAAGTTTCATTTTGTGTGTAAATCAAATCCAACAAAAATCGAAAAATAAACTAATACAAAATCTAACGTTTCAATCCATAAAACGACATTTTAAAAATACAAACATTGATAATCTCCCTCATTTTATTACTATTTACACACTGTCTTATATTTGACATTTTTAGAATCTGTTACCCACTGTATTCACTTATCCTTCTTTCTTTTTGCGATTTCCTTTCAAACTGTATATTTACACCATTTTTCATTCTATAGGTTATTGTGTTTGTCATCCAGATTTTTTAATTCTAGTGGGGTACAATACACAGATATCCATATCTTGCTAAATATACATTTGAAAGAGTCAGAAAATATCATGCAAGTTCTAAAAAATCAACAAGACTTATTGAGGTCAACCTACTCACAGAGAAACCTGAACAAATCAAAGAGCAAAGATTTGGACGGACTACCCATGTCTGATGGATAATCATCCCAACCTTGTTCTTTGACTACCTCTTTTACTGAGTGGACCCAGAACCTCCATAGTTGCCATAGTTGCCGTAGTACTGAGCATACTGCTGGGCATACTGAGGGTTTTGTTGGTAGTATTGCTGATACTGCTGTTGGTAGTTGGCGTACTGTTGCTGGGTTGATTGGTTTTGTTGTGGGGTCTGTTGTTGGTATGACTGGTTGTAAGAGCTTTGGCTGCCCTGGTTGTAGCCGGTGCTGGCGGGAGCGGCGGCAGCGGCCGTGGTGTTGCTGCTACTGCTACCACCATACCCGGCTGAAGTGTTGCTGTAGTTTGATGAGGAACCATAGCCTTGGTTTGAGCTATAGTTGCTTGCTGAACTGCCACTGCCACTGCCGTAGGAGGACTGCTGCTGGTTGTAACTTGACTGCTTATTCTGTTGGTAGTTGGACTGTGAGGAAGAAATACCAAATAAGATATGATTAAAATATTTTAAATTCAAAATACAACTTATTCATGAACATAGCCATGAAAACATACATATATGAGTACAATACGCTGAACTACATGTACTTGTCACAATACATTACTATAATTTACAATTTAGGATCAATATAAAAAAGGAGTCGGTATAAAAATCTGTAACGAGGTTCTTTTCTTTTGACAATCAATTTCCAGTCATCTTCATTTCGGTAAACACCAATAAGAGGTACTGCATGTTGGTCAGTGGAATCTATAGGTACAGGGTCTAGTCATACAACCATGAGCAGCTCATATTCTACAAGTATTAAAGTTTTTCCTCTCAATGCCATAATCACATAAAATTACCTGGTTTCCGTATTTGTTGTAGGAGCTTTGGGAGCTTTGGTTCTGACGATTGCCATAGCTTCCACCACTACTCTGGCTTCCATAGCTACCAGAGCTTGAGTTGCCCTTGTAGTTGCTGCTACCACCACTTCCATAGCTTGAGCTTCCACGGTTACCGCCACCACTGTTGTATCCACCACTGTTGTATCCTCCTCCTCCGCCACCGCCGCGTCCACCACCGTAGCCACCACTGCCTCCGTATCCACCACTGTTGTATCCTCCACCGCCGCCACGTCCACCACCATATCCACCACCTCCGCCTCCTCCACGGTTCCAACCTGAAGAAAGAGATAAGTAAAATGAGCAGATTAGATAGAGATACTTTCTTGCTAACACTATATCCACCTCCACAACGGTTACAATGATGTCTTGTGATAGGATATTTATTATCACTTCAAGCATAAGAACATATAAACACAATACTAAACATATACTAAGGGAATGTATCAATTTGAACTTCCAACAAAGGCACAATATTGGGAGAATTTGAGTGTTCAGCTATTAACCCTGATGACAATCACAGAGATTGGAATCTGTTTACAGACAACTGGCATTGTCAATTAATACCTTTATAGTTCTACCATTTAAAACAGACTGCATCTGCAGAACAAAACAACTTGGATACACATCTAAAATTTGAACACTCTCTATACTTAGGCATTAGTTTCACAAGGCACTATCATTAAATTGTACATTTTAGCACTAGGGCTCACCTGCATGAATAGGAAATTTAATAACCCCCCCCCCCCGGCTCCATAAATCAATGTTGAATTAAAAATCAGAAAATATAGATGCACTGGACAATCTGTAGATAAGTCATTGAATCACAAGTATGATAGATGGTATACCTCCTTCACGGTAGCCTCCTCTGTATCCACCTCCTCCTCCTCCACCACCATAGCCTCCACGACGGTCACCATAATCAGAGCCAGAGCGATAGCCACCGCCCCCACCATAGCCTCCTCGTCGATCGTCATAACGGCCGTATCCACCACGGTCATAGCCTCCTCGGAAGTCTCTTCCACCAGGACGACGGTCAAAGCGAGGTTTGAGTCCTCCAGCCTCTTTGCCTTCTTTACGGTAGCGCTCTACCAGGGGCTTGCACTCTTCCTCATTCAGCTCAATGTACTCCACCTCATCAAAGAGCACACCCTTCTCAGGGAGCTCAAAGTTGGCTAGATAAATTAGAGTGTGGGTTAGTACGAAAGGATAAAGAAAATTAGTGCACAGAAATAGTACAACATGAAGCTGTGAGATTACTAATTTACACTTACTGTACAGTTTCCTACATTAACACTTTACAGGCTAATTCTAGGAGAGAGTAAGACGATGGGTGATTACATTTGTTTGAGCCATTACTGGCTGATCCCTACCTTTCATCTCATTCACAGCATGGTCCGGGACGTCCTTGCCTTCTTCTTTAGTGCGTTTTTCGATCCGCTTCTTAAACTCTTCCTCAGAGGGAACTAATACGATTGCTTTGGTGCTGAAACCCTCAAAAGGGCGCATTTTTCTTCTTCTTGCGGAGGGATACACATTTGTCTGACAGCAGCATTGGAGTAGGAGAGAATAATAGTGATTATTTCTGATTCCATTCATGGGCTATCAAAGCCGCATCTTCATTCAATTCTCTGTAATGATAAGTCCATACATGTTACTCAAATGGTCATAACAATAGTTTGATGCCATATACAAACCCATCTGGAAGAAAGAAGTGGTTAGTAGTGCTGCCTTGTGCACAAGACTGAAATTTCAAAGCCAACATATACAAAAGAAAGTGCATTAAATCTTCAAATCTACCTCTTAACCTGAGATGCCATTGGTGATACTTAACATAATTACAAAATATACTATGGCTTAGTTAAACTACAATCAGAGTAATTCACACACATCATTTTAAGAGAGCTGTTACATTCTTAGGCATATTATAATTCAAACATCAAAACATATCACGATGAACATCAAGTACTTCAAATAAATCATTTAATCAAATGAAAAACAAAAACAGTTCTCCATTATGCATGCGAAAAAAACCCATGGCTGAGCCAACAACAAAGATAATGCCTTTGATATGACGAAATATTCACTTCTTTGCAGTTCTATTATTTGACTGTCAAATTGAATTTGTACGTCTGAATACCATTGTAATCCAAATCTCAGTTCCACACTACTTTGTCATTCATGACAGGTGTATCTCAGATAAGTCATGAATATGTTTTCTCCAAAACTACCAGTTCAAATCCAACAAGGACAAGGAACCCTTTGCTACAGATTCTTAATACCCAAGTCTAATTTTTAAATCTCTTCATTTGCTGTATCCATAGCTGATAGATGAAAAAAATAGACAAGTATGCACGATTTCACATGCTTGCGAAAAATTTACTTTACTTATTTTCTTTTAGCCATCATATTTATTCATTAATACCTAATGAAAGTAATTAATTTTTCACATGGACTCTTTACAAAACTCCTTTCTCTGGTATGGTGGCTTTTACTAATTTTGTATTAGTTTGGAGGAGGCAAATCACCATAACCCCATTGAAATTATTACTAATTCCAAGCCAAGTTGGTCCATCTCTTTACCTACATGTAGCAGTCATTAGCTCCATTGATATAATCTCAATTATAAAAGAATCTTCACCAACTTTCCTCTAATCATCCATACTAATCACTTTGGTTATAATCATCCTCTTTAAATTTGACACTGACTATCATTTGCTCATATCCTGTAGGGTATGTTGAAATTAATTTACTTTTCTAGAATTCAGAAAAGACCAAAATTTCCTTGCGTATCGCATTGAGTATCACTTGCCATCTAATCCTGCAACAATCATTGTCTTGAATGCAAGTTTACTTTTTGTCATGAAGAATCGTAGCATCAGAGAACTTCCTTACTGTTTTAGTTCACCTTTCTTCTTCCAAGCCACAAATCAATTATCATTAACTACCAGAAATGGCTCTGCTTTTGCACCTTGTAGTATTGCTCTTCATTATACATGACATTTTGCTGAAGCATTGTGATGTCATCATTTCAAGAGTCACTAAAATAAGCATATCTTTGTTGTAAAAAAATGCATTTGATCACCTGATACGATAATCATTTATATCATTCAACTGCAATTACATAGGAAAGTTCTACAAGAGAGAAAAATTATACCAAATAAGGCTATTCTTCAAAAATTGAAATAACAAAGAATGCCCAATAATGCATGAAGTACTTTTCACTACAAATATCTACTCAATCTAAACTCCAAAATGTTACTGTTTAAGTAAAACCAATGGCACGCTCACTTATGTTACAAGAGGTATGTTTTATTGATTCGTAATGCACTGAGAATTTCAATCATTTTGGGGTAATCTTTCAGCATTGTGCAACAAGGCAAAGAAGGAGTTCAGCATGAAACTGACTCTACCTCCAGTTTGACGACATACCTGGTCAAGAATGTAATTACGGCGCTTCCGGGCTGCAACTTCAAAGAATCGATTCAAGCACTTGGTAGCCAAGTCCATCAACTTGTCAAAACGGCCGGCATAGTTGCGCGAACGGCGGAGCCCCATCACCTGTAAACAGTTAGGTTAATGTTAATAACTAATGAGCAATTCCATTAATATTTAACGGTAAAATCCTAAATAAATATTTCGATTAGAGCTTACAAACATGTATTTCCTAGGTAACATAAACTGCAACTATTTTAAACAGCAGAAAACCATTTCATTGCGTATACAAAAATTCCTATGAAACACAAATATTCATATAGGCCTCCCATATTTCAATCTGAACTATAATCATAAATTTTTCTTTCTACATGTAGAATGATCCAGCATTCCACAGGCCTTTTCACCCATACAGATATTAATAGTGGATCTGGTGATACAATGGTTGTATTCGGCTTGACATTTTGACCTACCTTCATCTTATCCATGATGAGGTTGGTACCAAGGATGTAGTACTTCTTGTCGGTCATCTCCTTGCAAGCCTTGATGGTCCATGTTGTCTTGCCAGAGCCAGGCAGACCCACCATCATCAGCAGCTACACAAAAAAGAATGGGACACAATTAGAAACATGATAGAAACAACAAGCATGGTATGAAATTGTTGATGAACTTGGTCATATAAATCAATAAATGTGAGATGAATAGCAGTATTTTGGTAGGTATGTGTGTTCCATGTTTAGGAAAGTGTCACCAAAAAGTTGTAGATTTGTTATTTGATTCTGTTGATAGTTCCAATACCAATGTTTTATTTCTAATGAATAAAGTTTTAAAAAATTCTGAATTGTATGGAATTATTAGTGTTTGAATGATCAATTCAGAATACAGCTTACACAAGAATTAATTTCTTTAAACTTGATTTTATTTCTTTAAACTTGATTTTATTTCTTTGCACAAGTGGTATGCTAACAATCTTTGTGGACATGCAGCACAAAATTATGATTAACAATAGTAATAATACATTTCAATATACAATGATAATGGCAAATCAATGATATACCCTGTCAAAGATGGGGTACTATAATAAACACAAACATAACTGAATAATAACCCAAATATACAGCCATGGCATAATCCATCTTGCTAATCATCATGAACAAACAACGTATAGTCACTCAAACATACAAACAGTATGAACCAACTACAATGTACATGTAATACAAAGTCACAGTGGGCACTGTTTATGTCCAAAGGAAACCATAAAGGAAGGGGCTAACTTTATTGGTCTTTTTATGAACAGGTACTCAGGAATCTTTAAGAATATTATTCCAGTAATCGGGGGGGGGGGGGGGGGGGGGGATGCTTGGAAACAAATGTAAATTGTATGGATCACAGAACAAAAAACGAAACAAACTACTACACACACACAAAAACAAAAAAAAACATCAAATACAAATTACTCTCAAATATCTTGAGCGAAGTTTATAATAAACCATTCCGTTACCAGAGTGGTTTAAAAATGTTCATTGCATTTCCATTAATACCTTAAAATTTCTGATATTGCTTCAAAAGAAAAAGTTACCATCATTTTACGGCACAATACATGTATATTTAAATATTACTGATACCAAACCTATCGACCTTCTTAGTTATTCCATTGACATGATATTTTGAATCATGTTTCTGTTTTCAATATAATATTGAAGACACAAAAGGAAACTACAAACGATACATCACAGCCAACCTCTTCCTACACATCATTACAAGTACTATTTTCAAACTGTTTCTCTTTGTAGACGGAAGATTTAACAAACAAGCACACATTAAACAAACTGAATATACGTGAATAACTTTTCACAAACACACATATATTCACACATTGACCAGGATACAGTTTTCAAAACCAAATGCTTAGATCTCTGTCTTTCACACAAAACATAACTTTGGTTTCCTGAAAGAAAGCTTCTTGCTTTTATTAAAGTTTAATTAATTCTGCCACGAGAAGTAACAAGCTTGGGGCATTTCGGAAAAAGACAGTCTAGCTGCAGATCCTCAAATGAGAAAGACTGGTTGAGAAGTTGTCTACACTCCTGCCATACAGTATCCTGTTCTGCAGCAGGAACATTGTATAGTTCAAAGATGTGATGCCGAACCTCTAACATCCTGGGACACTCGGTCGGAACAGATTGCTGAGAACCTGCTTTCTTGCCTGGGAACATCTTTCTTGCCAAACGAAGTGCACACACTTGGTAGTTAGTACTAGACTTGTAGATCTTCTCCACCTCTGATCTGCGCAACGTGACCTTGGACGGTTTCCCCCTCGCTCCTCCTTTAACTTCATCCGACTTGGAATGAACCTTGGAAGAATGAACCTTCCTTTGTGCTGCCTTAGGCTTAGTAGTGGCATTAGGTTGAGGAGGGGCATCAGGGCTTTGGTCAAGAGACACAAAGGATGGTCTTGGTGAGCGATTCATGCTTTTACCAGATTTTCTTCTTGGAATACCTGCTGCTGATCCTGGGGACAGCCTATTCATCTTCTTCTTGGGTACTTGCAACTTCTTATCCATCCTGGTGAGATCATGGCACACGTCCTGTATCTCATTACTATGCTCTAAAGCTACCGAAAGTCTACTGTTTAACATTTTTATATTTGCTATAAGTGATTCCAAAATCCCACAACCCTCCTTTGGTTCGTGACAATTTGCTGCATTTGTCTCTTGAAGCTGGTAATATCCTGGGAGGCTTAACCTTGGGTTAAGAGTGTCAAATGCCTGGTAGGGAGCATTTTGTTTTAGTGTGTGCTTCACTGAGCAAGATGAAGTCTGGTAGAGATTGTTTAAACGAGCTTCAAGCAATTTCTTTAAAGTCTTACTAACAATATCATCACTACTCAGGAACATGTCTTCAGTCATCTATGAAAATAGGACAAGATAAGATAGTATTAATTCATTCAATTTATTCTTGTATGCTCATTCATACTTCATCCACGCTAGGTTTGAACTGCTTTAATGCTTTCAAGTTATCACAGTAACCAGATATTTCGTGGCAGTTTAGAACACTTTATGACCCTTATCTTTGACCTTTTCCACCCAAAATTTAATGAGTTTATCCTTGCATACTCATGCACACTTGATCCAAGTTTGGTTAACATTTGCTCAATGGTTTCGACTGACGGACAATCCAAAAACATAATTTCCCCAGCACCACCTTCAGAGATGAAGGCATAAAAAAAAGGACAAAGCAACATCTATCATGTATCAGAGCTTGTAGAGAACAAGGACAAACCTCAGATAATCACACAAGTTCAGTATCTTCGCTCAATTAGACGCAGAACTGGCAGTGTACGTTTCATCAGTGGATTTAGCAATGTGAAATGGTACATAATACATTACTTTGAGAGACAGGTTAAATACTATTACACTTTCATTTATCAGTACTAGTTTACTATATATTGTCCTTGTTGCTTCAGTATTACCTTTTAAGGAATAAATAATACTGGAAACCTATGAAAAAACTTCGCTTTACAAAAGGGAAAAAAAATCAACTTATTTCCCTATAAAAAGAGAAAACTATGTAAATAGGGTATGACTGAATATTATTCAATTTTGTGATGTGTGTAACAGATAAGCAATAAATGATCTCTGTATAATTCCTGGATGCATCATAGCTCCAAACACACACCTTGTTCTTGCATTCAAGAGAGACTGGACATGGAAGATACTGGACCAGCATCTTAACATCCTCTGCATTGCCTGCATATTAGAAATGATAATGCATCTCATCTAAAATAAGACCACGAAGCTTTGTTCTTCTACTCATGATCTTATACAAGACAATTAGTGATATCCAGCTGGTTTCACATAATGAGCTGATAAAGAGACTTAGACATGTTGGAGTCTCATATGTGCTGTACAATATAAAGCCTGAATGGAAAGACGTCATGAACATAGCCGGAAAACTGGCATCCCTTATTTATTCATTACACTTTTAAAATATCCACCTAAACTCCTCGTAGAAATAGAAGAGTGCCTAAGTATGTGACCTCCGACATTCTATTCTGACATTCCAATGAAAACGAAATAGCACCCCCCTCCCACATTTCATTTTGATCAAGTTTATCCCAATAGCTTGAGATTGTGGTGATATATGTCCAATATGCCCATATTATTCCATGTAGAAGCTGTTGCTCTTTCAGAGTTTCAAGCACTTACGCAGAACAGACAGCACTTTTCCGCGAAGAAGAGATCCCTTCCACAAGACGGTAACAAACGTATGCTGGACACTTGCTCCTTCCAGAATATGACTAACTGGTATGATACAAGGGCTCCACTCATCAGCAAAGCCTACCAGCACTGCAACATTCTGGGAAATGGGAAAGGATATTGGCTGACCAGCAGCAAGCTAAAAGATGGGTTGATGGGTGTTCATTCCATGGGTAAGTTGCTGCCGACACGAATGATGGTGTTATGTTGGGTGCTCATGATGGGAGTGATGGTCATGAATCCGGTCTCATCAGAAGTGTGATATTCTGTGCAATCATGGGTTAGTTGTGCCACTGGCGACTAATCAGTGGCTTATATTAGAGTACCCACACAGCCATCAATGTCACATGAAGAGATGAGCAACTTTCCTCTTAGTTCAAAACCAGCACTCTTGAACAGCTACATTGCAGCATTACCATGAAATGAAAAGTCTTCACAACCAAATACAGATGACTTCTGATGTGGTTTAATATTTATTGCAAATGGCAGATGGTAACAATATCTTAAAATTACATTATAAACTCAATTACTCTAGAAACTCTACATAGACTGGTGTTGACTTTTTTAAAAGTTTATTTTCATTTTATTGATCAGACTGATACAAACATATAAACCCACATTCAAAGAAACAAAACAGTTACACATGTAAAGGTCAAACATAAGTTAACAGAAACACAATATACAAGACACACACACACACACAAAACAAATAAAAAAACAAAACAAAATATGACATGTGGTTCTTGGAATGCCTTGCATGTTATATCAACAAGTTCTATTGTTAAAATCAGTACCAGGTTAGACCATGTTGATACTCGAAGAGCTTCACATTTTTTATATGATGGTAATATCTATATAATAATTTTGTATAACCAATCTTCTTTTCACACATTTATTCACATTTTGGATAAATTGATAACAAATCAAAGGTAATGGTAACCACTATTTTCTACTGGATTTTTGTGTCCCTAAACCTAGATGAAAACAATCATTACATTTCTTCATGTTTATGAGTGCTTATTCATAGACCTGTCTGTGTAACATCAATGGACATTACTCTTGATTTACTGACCCAAAATTTGCAATCCATCAACAAAGTCACTCTTTACCCACCCCACCCCACCCACCCTATCATAGAAATAATTGTAATTCTATATTCAATGAGGCTTCACAACTCTAAATGGGAAGCCCCAAAATTTAAGATCTTTACACTCTAAAAATGACAACCAAATTTTTCAGGGGGCATATGCATTTTTTTCATACAGTAAATATTAAAATTATAAAATAATCAGAACGCCAGGTGAGAATACATGAATGGAAGGAGCTGGCCTCCGGAGAGATCATAAAACCCCATATGGTGAAGACTTACCTCGCAATCCTTCTTGGTTGCAGGAGGTTTAGGTCCACGTTCTGTGTCCTCGGCGGGTAGCTGACCTAGGAAAGAGAATCCTTCCTTTAAAGGAAAATATGGCTCCTCCTGTGTAACGAAATGTAAGTTGTAAATAAAGCAATTAGAATCAAATACAAGCATTTTTTCATCTGCAATGATTCTTGACTAGCAAATAAAACTTACAAATAACCAAGCCTTTTATTAAGTCAAAGCAGACCGGGAGCCAAATATCTGAAAAAGCGGCTCCCGGTCCTTAATTTTTTTAGAGAACCGGGAGCCGTTTTCCAGGACCAGGAGCCGTTTCCAAAATTGATGAAAATATGTATTCTTTTAAATTATTTGTTAAACGTTACCTTTTATTTATACATACGGTAGTTTAATTTCTACAGTTTACATTTTGAGCACTCTTATATTAAATCACTCATACCTTGGATAAATCTGTAGTTGTTGTAGTTCATGTTTAATACTATTTTCATGCCGTTAAATGTCAAAAATTGAAAAATGTTAGGAAAGGGGGAATTAAATTATTTTTATAAAAAAAATACTTAAGAAAAACCATCTAGATAATGACAATGCAGAGCTGCCAACCTGTCACTTTCAAAAAACATATTACCGGTATTCAGCTTGAAAAAGCATATTTAAGGTGAAAAAAAAGATTTTGCCTGTTTAACGGGTTTGTTATTTAGACCTGTCACTTAAAAAAATATTAAAAATAAATAAAATAAAAATAATAATAATTAAAAAAAAAAAAAAAAATTTGTTAAATATATTTACCTATTTGATCGAAAAAAATCCATTATTTAAAACATCACAGAATTTTAGTCAATGAGTACGAGGGCCGCTGAATCAAGGCAAGTCTGGAGTTGCAATCAACTTTGTACATAAAGTCAATGCATCAGCAGGTCCGGTGTTCTGTTTTTCATTTGGCTTTTTGAAGATACCATTACATCCGAAGGGCATGCGATAGGCAAAAAAACTGGCAACAAAATCGCTGATTTCTTGATTTTTAGCGCTATTTTGATGAAACTGTTTCTTAAACCTGGGCTAAACCCCCGTGAGCTTTGGAAATATGACTCCGATTCCGCATTTTTGACGGCAAAATTTGGCTTTTGGGATGGATTTTTGGAAGTTACATCGAGACTTTCTTGTACTGACACTGTGTGTGTAGTGCAGTACAGCACTGATGTCATTTGTGTGTGTATGCATGGCTTGGGAAATGCGCTCGTCTTCGCTTTGAGTGGCGTACATCCCCTGTATTGTGTGCTCCGTACTCCGCTAGGAGTAGGAGATAGCGGCCGCTCGTATTAGTGCTGCAATTGTTTCTGGGCGATTTTAATTAGGATTCTCATTATGTAATGATTTGTTAGGGTTCATTCAGTCCATGTTTAACTCGTATCAAGTAAGTTTTTGTCACATTTGTGAACATTTAGTGCTAGACATGTGGAAGTTTATGAAACAGAAAATGTTAATTCTCCCAGACCGGGCGCCAGAAATAAAAATGAACCGGCGCCCGGTACTCATTTTCCCCGTCTTACCGGGCGCCAAAAGTCAGGGACCGTAGGGTAAAAATCGCCCGGCGCCCGGTTAATAAAAGGCTTGCAAATAACAGACTGTTTAGGGTCCCCTGTACTACAACAATTACAGAGAAAGTAATCTAAAATGGCACATACAGTATTGAATCAGAAGTATCCTGAAGGGTACATGACACCAGAAGTAGAGCAGAGATAAAACAGATTTAATTTCTCTTTCTGTTCTCTTTTTACTCGCTTCTCAGATAGCAACACAAGTTCAGTCTCTTCATGCTCAATCAGAAGCAGAACTGGCAGTGTAGGTATCATCACAGAATTAAGTCCTCTCAATTAAAGTTGAAAAAAGGAACTGATTGCACAAAATTAATAAGCTTTGCTCAAGTTTGCTGCTGTTTCCTACCTTCTGGCCAAAGTTGACCTCAACTGAGATGTTCTTGACCATGAAATGAGGGAACAGGGCTTGACCATTCAGATCTTCCTCAATGGTGAAAGCAACACCAAGGTCAGTTCCATTCTTGGTGTACGAGATGGTAGGCTTCTCTCCTTCAAAGTCCTGCAATCAAAAGCAAATTAATTGTTCAAAATTGTCATTATGTTGACATTGATTGGTAAAAATAATTGAATTTTATTCCCAGTAATTTAGATCCTGTAAGAAATTATCATATCATGGTTAGAACATTGTCAGAGTATGTTAGTTTGACACTACCTATACTGGCATTTCGCTCCTCATATGCATTACAGGGAAAACTAAACAACAACAAAAATTGTTCATATAATTCATACAATATTTAAGTAATCCCACTTACCAGGACAGATCATTATTACCTTATTCTCAGATAAAACCGCTAAAATTCTTAAGTTATACTTGGCAAGATATAACATAATTCTTTAAACTCTTCAAACATATTAAAATATCCTCAACAAATTTTAAGTCAATAGCAACTGAGGACTTACCACGTATGCCCCGATGACATCACCCACGCCAAACTTCTCTCCAAAGTCCACAAACTTGCATTTGACTGATGCCTTTCCTGTTCCACCATACCCAAAGGAAAAGTCTTCCTCTCCTGTAGAAACATTGAAGAAAAAAAATTCATGTTCAAGCTCTTCGAAGTTTGCTTACTTCAAATTGAGTTCAGAAATAAATGCTTTCTTCATTTCTCCCTGAACAGTACCAATCTGTTTAAAAGTTTTCTTTCTTTCCACTGGACATTTCAGATGACTCTTATGACTAGATTGATGGTTTCTTTGAATTGTTTTATTATGGATAGTTACCTAATTCTCAGATAGCGACACAAGTTCAGTATCATCAAGATTGTGAGTGCTCAATCAGAAGCAGAACTGGCAGTGTACGGTTCATCATAGAATTACACAAATCCAAACATATGAACTCTACGCAGGAAATAATGCTCTTTTCAAGTTCAATATATTGAGTAATACATCTTTCAGCCTCCAAGTCACGGATGGATTAAAGGAGTGAATACTTGGTCTTGTAGAATAACCCACCATTAAACTTGAAAAGAGTTATTAACATGGCAATAAACTGACCTAACTGAAGAGAAGAAGCATCAATGGACCATCCTACACGGACAACATGTCTGTTGTTCTCTTCAGGGGGAAGGTGACGTACATCAGCTTGGGACTCCAGCTATGAGAGAAAAAGAAAAAGAATATTTTATCTTCATTGTTCTTAACCCTTACTGTACTGGGCTATTTTGAGCACCCACTGACTGGGGGGGGGGGGGCCTCGGAGGCCCCCCCTATGATCTCGGCAGTCGATTGTCCGATGAACACGAAAATTTGCACGTTTGTAGATATTTACGTAGGGAACAAGATGGTATAATTAGTTTTTTCTGAATATGCAGATTTTTGTCGTTAGCCTAATTAATTATGCAAAAATGCTAATTTTATGCATTTTACAGAAAACGTTTCAAACTCCACTTTTTGAATGTTGAAACTCATTATTCATATGAAACTTCTTTTTTAACTCAAAAAAGTTAATTTAATGTAATTAATAATGATAATTTATGCAAATTTTGATGCAACTTTTTTTTTTTTTTGATGACATGCGCATACTAATTGTTATGTAACGCCTTACAGGTATATCCGATTTCGACGAAAATGGTATCAAAATGTGCGTGAGACTTGAGGGAAAAAAGTCATGAAACGACAATTCAAAATTCCAAGCGGTTGCGGCGCAAACTTCGAAAATGTCGAGGGGGGGCCTCCCAGGCCCCCCCCCAGTACAGTAAGGGTTAATAGAATATCAGAGATGCAAAAGCTCATTGGTATGAGGAAAGACAGGTCATCCTCAGATAACAACACAAGTTCAGTCTCTTCACGATTATAAGTGCTCATTCAGAAGCAGAACTGGCAGTGTAGATATCATCAGTGGATTCATTAAATGTATATAAGTCATGATTACTTAAATTATAACTCTTCCAACTACAACTAAAAGGGCAAACCCCAGAATGAATCTTCAACAATAAATGTGCATGTTTGTTTGTAGAAAAACAACTTAGACATATTCGACTGTTCTATTTATTATATATTACCATAACCAGTATTTGGGAAAACAAACCTTGCATTCGAATGCGACCTTTCCTTTGTTCACTCCATGGGTAGCCTTGACTCCTCCCCACATGTATGCGAATCCTTCCATGCTGAGGGGACAGATATTGTAGCCATCCTTACCAATTTTCAGATTCAAGTCGGAGAGGTCTACAAACAAAACGAGGGTAAATCAAAAGCGTTGAAAGCAAAGAACTACATGTCATAGTCCATAACTTGCACCTTCATCTCAATGAATTTAACCAGTAATATCTAATTCTAATTTTTATTTATTTATTTATTTATTCGGTTTAAAAACATCAACACGTAAAGTTCAGGAACTCATAATGGTTGATTTACAATGAAATTGAATAATATAAACAAAATTGAACCAACAAATATACACTTAAGAAGAACATATTATTTCACACACATAAAAATGTGATTGCAATACAATATACAACGGCTGGCTAGATGTGGCTAGACCAAGGCGAGATATGACAAGGAAATCGAAAAGAAGATAAATGACAAATGAGAGAGAGAGAGAGAGAGAGAGAAAGAGAGAGGGACAAGAAAGGGAAGGGTAGGAAGAAAAAGAGAGAAGGTAGGGGGAAAGAGAGGGGGAGGGGAGATACGGAGGGGAAGTGAGCGAGAGAGAAGGAAGAGAGAGGAAGAGAGAGGGAGAGAGAGGAAGGTAGAAAGAGAGAGAAGAGAGACAGGGAGAGAGTGAGGTATAGAAAGAGAGGGCGAGAGAAGAGAGAGAAAAGAGGGGGAGAGAGAGAAGGGGATAGAAGAGAGAGAGGGAGGAGAGAAAAGGAGAGACATGGAGAGGGAGAGAGAGAAAGGGGAGAGATCTTTAAAAGGCAAAATAAGAAACAAGGTAGATAAACGTAGCATTAAAACATTAATACATTTCTTATACACATCTACACAGGAGAAGGCGCACCGGAGCGTTCTGAGAAGACAACAATGGATTGGCCTGCAACGCATCGTCGCGTCCGCTCCGAAGGCCACGGTGCGCCTGCACATGATGGTCAACATTTCAGCATTTTCAAGAAATTTAGAGTAGCTAAAATGTACAGGCAATTTGGCAGTAAATAGCAAAATATAATCAATACCCTTCCCGACAATGTTGTGCAAAACATGTAAAGCTAATTGTTAAAGAGTTGACACCTCTATTAATTAATGGCAAAACCCGCATTTCTTCAATATTCTGGATCAGAAAAATACAGCTATAATAAAGTATTGCACCTTGTAGTGGTTCTAAAGAGTCACAACATGTGAAGCTAATTGCTAAGTTGACACCTCTATTAATGGAAAACCTGCATACCTTCAAATTATTTAACAAATCCGAAAATACGGCTATAATAAAGTATTGCACTTTGTACATGTATCAGGTCTAAAGATTCACAACATGTGAAGCTAATTGTCAGGAGAAGTTGACACCTCTATTAATGGGAAAAACCCGCAAATCTTCAATATTATGAATCATGTATTAGAAAATACACAGGCCTTAAATTAATCGACGGCCATCGACGGCCAGGCCGTCGATGCCCCTATGACTGGCCGCGGTGCCCTCCCAAAAAAAGATAAATTCACGGCCAAAAAGGCCGTGCCCTTTTTTTCCAACTGGCCGACGTGCCTTTTTTTCCAACTGGACGTGCCCTTTTTTTTTTAAATTTGCGCACATAAAACCACCAATTGCGCCCATAATCATCTAAAACTAGACGGCAAGGCGCAAGTGTTTTCCGTGAAAATGCGCCCATAAATTATTAGAACAGTAAAAATACACCAATCACGAACAGTTTGCCGCCCACGAGCTCTCTTCTAGCTTCGTATTTAGTGCTTTAATAAGGCGCAAGTGCCGTGAAAATGCGCCCTTTGTTATTATATAGGCAATGCGCTAGCGCACGTACGTTCATGCGATCGCATGATATGCATATGGTGCATGCTGTTGACGCACGCACGTACGTCAACGAAAAAAATACACGGTGGCGACGGGCGATTCGCCCCCTAAACCTCTGAAATCGCCACGGTAAAAATCAAGACGAGGGCGAAAAAAAATCAATATATCTTGAAAAATCGCCCCCGCCATAAATTGATATTCCCTATGAATTAATAAACCAATTTATTGATGTGTCTGAGTGAAATCTCCGTTCCAACTACCAACTCCAAAACTAGAAACTTCCATCAACATTTTAAAAGTTTTGTGAGTTGCAGCGGATCGGCGGTCGTACCTAGATCTACAGCGGTATCCGCCTGCCTAGCCTGCGCCTAAGCTCCCGGCGGCCGGACAGGCCACCGGCCCCGATGTAGTTTCGTGCACAGCATGAATGCATACGCAGTTCGCACACGTTCACAATACACAGAAACGTACTAGCTCAGCTCCAGCGCGCGCCCGCACGCTCCTTGTATGAAGCAAATAAGTATTTGCGAGTGACGAGAGCTCAACTGCTAGCGACCAAATTGGTACGTAATATGTTTATTTAGTCTTTTTTCTGGCCCTAATTTTTATCATGGACAATGCAATCCCATTAAAAAAAATGTTATTCCGTCTAAAATTGTGTTATTTATAAGTTAAAACCATTAAATGCGAGTATATTTTTACTGTTGTCCCACATACTGATATATTTGTAATAACGAAACGTGCAAAATCAATGCCGGATTTTTTCCTGTAAAATCGGTATAAAGCAAGTTTCGTACACAGAAATTGAATTTTGTTATAAAAAAAACCGTAAATAAGTATATAAAGGATGTTCCTACTCCTCAGAATCTTTCTTACAACTGTTTAATTAAATTAAATTATTTATATACGATCGATGCCAGGTCAATTGTCATGAGTGATGATGACATCAATTTCTGTCTACGAAATGAAACTAGCTTTGGCTTGGCCTTTAGAATTAGAGTCTATAAAAAAAAAATAAGGCCATGATTTTGCATGTTTCGGCATAACAAATAGACCCTACATCGGTATGTGGGACAACAGTAAAAATATTTACTCACATTTAATGGTTATAAATGGTCTAAATAACACAATTTTAAAGGGAGTTGGTCTACATTTTTTTTTAATGGGATTGCATTGTCCATGATAACAATTAAATTTGGGACAGAAAAAAAGACTAAATAACATATTACCTACCAATTTGGTTGCTAGTAGTATGATGGCTAAGGAAAAACACAACTTATTGTTACAGCTTACAATATGGCTTTAAGGAAGTAGCCCCTTGGTTTTTTTTAGGCAATGGGGAAAAGTAGCCCTCATAAAAAAATTAATTCCTAGCCCGCGTGTCAGTGATAATAGTTTCTTAGGATATGAAAAACGAACAGTTAAACAAAGCACTCCTTTTGACAAGTTTTAGTTACATGTATATGTAAATCATAAAGCCACACGTTTAACACAAAGTGAATAAATCATGGGTATCTGAATGTCTGCAATACTCTACCTGACATATGTACGCTACAATTGTATCTATATTTGCCTTTGCTTGGAATTTAATTAGGTAAAACCGCGTTTAAAAAAAATACAACCTTTAAAAAAAAAAAGCCCCCCTGAGCTCCAAAATAGCCACCGCAAAATAATTAAGGGGGGCTATTTTTTTAAGGGAAAATCTGAAAAGAGCCCTCGTAAAAAAAAAAGTAATTTTTTGGTTGACGTACGTACGTACAAATCGAAGGCCAGGATCAAGAAAACAAATCGACAAATGGAGAAATAAACAAGCATTCAAATAGTCATTAGAGATCTGTCGAGGTTTGTTTGTAGGTCTAGTTTATTATTTTATCTCAAATAGAATTTAGAATTATCTTATTAATAAGTTAAGAACACCTACGATGTTCTCGATCGTAGTTACTCTCATTTTGCCACCAGCCGACCTCGCTTCAAAAAGCTACCCCGCCAGCTTCCCAAGACGAACGTTTCGAGTCCCGGTAAAATTACGCGCTGCGAATCTCCGAGGGTGCATCGGTTTCGCTGTCAAACTTCCAGCCCGACAGCTTCCCACCAAAAGTGGCGAGAGTGTGTGTGCGAGGAACGATTTTGGTTTCGTGAATGCACGTTACGCAACTGAGCTGAGCGTGTCACTTTCAGCTGTCGAATGTCTATAAGGACATTTTTACATCTTATTTCATTAGTTAGGCCTATCTAGACCTTTCTATACTAATTTCTTCAAATTTGCTCCTACTACCGAGAGAGTGGCGGAAGGTTTGTGTGTGAGGTGCGATTTTGATTTGGGATACCCGGCCCGGTAAACTTGCCAAGTCCTTCTGACTTTCGATGTTTGTGAAATTGACAATTTATTTATTCATTTGCTCATCAATATTTTTAGTTACTTTAAAATTCTGTTTAATGTGCAAGTTTGATGTTCTTAATCAATCTTTCCTGTTCATATTGTTCAGATAAAAAAAAGTTATTAGGTCTAAATTGATCGTTCGATCTATTCACATCATGAAATTAAAATGTGTAGATCTAGACTCTCTTTGAACTTATGATTAGATAAGGGGCCTATCTGTTTTTGGAAAATTGCCCCTTGCTCTGGTAAATTCCCGTGGCAAAGGGCAACTTAAAAAAAAAATTGCCCCTTGCTCCTGGCTGCTAAATCTAAGGCTTGCGGGCCGCCGCCTTGTTTGTATGTACCGTAGACCTCTATACATTCTGTGAAGAAGCTGGTGCTAAAAGTCATGGGAAATTGATCCCGCACAAGTTTCATAAAATACACATGACATCTAACAAAAATAGAATCAATTTTTTTGGCCTCATACTCGATGCCCTTTTTGTAAAATATTTTGGCCTCGATGCCCTTTTTGTAAAAATATCATTTGGCCTTGGTGCCCTTAAAAATATGAGGTACTCAAGGCCAAACTGGCCTTGCCCTAAAAATGATGAAATTTAAGGCCTGAATACAGCATTAATGATTATGCCCTTCGCATCACTTCATAGCATAGAAGCTTGTAATTTCATTACAAATTTTCTAAATTTTGTCATTATTAACCTAACCTTAAGTATGGACTAACATTGAATGTAATTTTAAACAACCCTACAAAAATGTGTAGCTGGTAGGTGAAGGCAGCACACAGCAATAGTGTATGAGAGCTTGGAACAGAAAGCTACACAAGGACAATCCTCAGATAATCACACAAGTTCAGTATCTTCACGATTATGAGTGCTCAATCAGAAGTAGGCCTGAGTCATCACGGGTTTTGCCGAACCCGGGTTTGACTTGAAAATTTGTCATGCAGTAGACTGTAGTTGTCATGCAGTAGACTGTAGAGGGCAGTATGCAGAAGAGAGAGGAAAAAGCGCGGGCCTGAGATCACGTGATATTCACGTGACTATTACGTGATTTTTTTTTCCCCCTCTAGCTGCGAGCTGCCGCATTCTGCGCTGCATGCATGACAACTACGTCTCATTTCAAAATGATGGCTAGCTGAACTCGATATCGAGTACGTAGTTCATGAAATATCATTATTTCTGTAAGATATTATGAATATCTATAGTATTATTTGTCAAAGCAAATAATTATTTTACGGTAATTTTGTTGAATTGGAGTCCCTTAAAGTCTTACGTGATGTTTTTTAATTGGTTTAATGCTTATTGTTCCGATCAGGTCGGATGACGGTGTAGGGATTTAAACGTGCATATCAAGCTTGACTCGTAACTTCTGCTTTCCGTTATACACGCATTTTTAGAACGAACGAAAGGCACTTCGATGTTATTTCAAGAGCTCTAATTTATTTTCCTTCATCAAACTATCAAGGATAAACCATTATGTTGTGGATATATTTTGACAATTAAATTAATGCCTTTAGTATTACGATTTAATTGCAATAGTCTGATCAACATTTTAGTCTTGTGTGTGGCATTTTCTTGCTCTGTCTTCAGTGGGTCATAGATCTATTTCCACTTCCGTTTCTGAACGCACTCGATCGGTACCACGAAGCGTGATTCCTTTCTTGCAGCCTCAATTTTAGAGCTATAAAAACAACTACCGTCAACTGAAACTATATCCATTTATTTCTTAAGCATATTTATTTGATTATATTGAAATATAAGTTTGTGAATTCCATATTTTTAGTTCTATATTTCAAAATATCAGTGTGAAATTTAATTTTGAAAAACCCGAAACCCGAAAACCAAAAACCTGGTTTCAGCTCGACGGTCGGGGCCCGGGCAGGGACCCGTTTCGACTCAGGCCTAATCAGAAGCAGAACTGGCAGTGTATGTTTCATTAGTGGATTTAGGCATGTGAAATGGTACATAATAAATTACTTCTCTCCTAATACCCTACAAAATTTGAGAGAAGGGGTTAAATACCATTATGCCTTCAGTATCAGTTAATGTTTGCTTTATTTCGAACATGCAGATTCCTGTCCCATCTTCATTACAATTAATTCTACATGGATACACTAAAACTGATACAAATCTAGAATAAATCATGAAGTAACTTACATTTGCTGAGCACACACTGTGTGTCTGGAATATCATCATCTTCTTCCATGGTCACAGGAGGGGGTGTTCTGAAAACAGTAATGAGAAAATCTTTGTTAGCCTGGTTTACTGGTACATTGCATTCAATGCATTGCCTAATACTAAATAAATTTGATTTAGAGTGAACCAATCATGAAATGAATGTGTCCACTTCCTCATAGCCAGTTTCCTGTAAAGGGTGCAAACCAGGACCTTTCAAAATTCCTGGAATCTGGGGAATCCCTAATCCAGTTAGAACAATTGAAATTGAGAGTAAACAAAATATGTCAAGTTAAAAGTCCATGCTTCAAACCATTCCTCTTCAATGGTATAGACATTCCTGTCTTATCTTGGGGAGATTTATAACTACTATTTAGAGTAGGGGCGGTATTCTGAACCCTGTGTTATCTCTAATATTGTTGTATCTTTGAGGATAAGATAAAGTTGGAATTCTGAACATTGTTGTAACTTTTGTGTTATCTTTTGTTGTATCTAATTTCTCTCATCTTATTGGCCGCGCCTGCGCTCATACTTTGGTGCGCTTGTAATCGTGCGTATTATTAATAAAGTGGCATTTAATTCTCATTTGCATATGCGTACGGGAGATAATATGTCGAGATAATTGGTATTCTGAAAGTTGTTGTATCTTTTATCTTATCTTATCTTGCATGGTATTTACAACAATATTTACAACAGGTAGGGGGTTGTTGTATCTTTCGTGGTGATATAATGGCGGCAATATTTTTTGCCCAGAACCAACTTCGTGCCAATAGACGAGTTAGAAGAAGATTGTGTGTTGACCGGAAACATCACAGATGAGAACTTTCTAAGATATTACATGCTAGGATAGGACTATTTTAATGCTCTCATCTTAACCAATATAGTGAAAGCGTGATTTGTCTTCATGATCCACATTCAACAGCGCATAATGATGACGCGCATAATGATGACGCGCGTAATAAGTGCTCAAATAACTAATTACGCCCAAGATTAGTATGCGCTAGGCGCATCTTCAGATATGGCATAAAGTATTCCTATTGGTTGATCTACTTATCATGCTTATATAAAATAGATTTTGATTGGTAGGGTCCATAAAAATGGGCGTGTCATCAATGGTCAAAGATAAGATAGAGGCGGTCCTTCAAGAGATAACACAGGGATAAAACAATGTTCAGAATACCAACTTACAACAATATTAGCGCTGTGTTATCTCTGGAAGATACAACAAAAGATAACACAAAACTTACAACAATGTTCAGAATACCACCCTAGGCCTAATTCTTATAAATATATAAAATCTCACGAGAAGCATACTGTAATCACTGAATAATCAAATGTAAGAGAAAATATATAGTGTGTTATTCTCAAATTGCTTGTCTATATATACAATGTTTCAAGCCTTTTTAAAAAATCTTATTCTAAAACGAATTGCCTAGATATGATAATTATGATGAATTCTAAATTCAACTAAATTCTATTAATTTGCAATTAAATGCACGAATCTGGTAGTGAAGTACAAGGACAAGTAATGAAAATAAATAAGATAGGAAAGCCAATGCTTTCAAAGCCACTTCCCATTATAAAATAAAATTGACTGATTAAAACACTGAAGAACTATGGTAAACTAAACATGCAAGTGTTTGGAGCATGAACTCAACTACATGTATATCATTTATGCCCTCAGAAAGTAACACTAGTTCAGTATCTTCATGTTTGTCAGAAGCAGAACTGGCAGTGAAAGTATCATCACTGGACATCCAAACAAGTCTCCTTTACTCTCACCCACCTTCTTCTAGGAGATCGATCCCTGCCTCCAGATCGGCGATCACGGTTCCTGTTTTCATGGTCTCGTTTCCTTTCCTTGTCTTTGTCTTCTTCTTTTTTGTCTCCTGGAAATGATAAAACATGATAGAGTTGTAAATATTATTCAACTTAAACAGAGAAACAACTTTTTTAAGAATTAGCAGCAGTTGATATTCTTGTACAAATTAAAAAACACCCAAGGTTGATTTATGTGACTTGTATCAATACAAATATTTGTTTGTTTGTTATGGAACATAACTTCGTAAAAAAATTGTACATTCCTAAAATAAGACAATTCACATGGTATGTGTTTCATAATTCATATAGTTTTCATTACCATCCCCAGTCTGCTCTCCATTTTCCCCTTCCTTCTCTACTGCTTGCTCCATGCCTTCTGGTTGCTGTTCATCCTGCCCCTGTTCCTCCACTGCTTGTGGTGCATCTTCTGTGACTTGAGGCACAGCTTCTACCTCTTGTTGCATAGACTCTTCCTCTTGGGGTTCATCAACATCTTGAGGTGCTGCTTCAGCTTCTGGTTCCTCCATTGCGGGAGGAATCTCCAAGTCTGCTAAGAGCTGGTCATCTCCACCCTCTTCACCTGTAACAAGGGGAAAAATTGAGACCAACCAACCAACATACAAAGTGAGAAACAAGTTACATATGCATAAATCCAATTGACATGACAATTTTTTTCCTTCTCCGTTGGCAATTCAAATTGAACAGAATTGAACAGAAAGATACACAAGGAAAATCCTCAGATAATCACAAGTTCAGTATCTTCACGATATGAGTGCTCAATTAGAAGCAGAACTGGCAGTGTACGTTTCATCAGTGAATTTCGCAATGTGAAATGGTACATACCAAAAAAGATATAACTTGACATTACCTATACTGCATGCCTTTGCATTTAAACCGAAACCAACCGTTTGAGTAATTTAAATCACGCCTAGTCTATACTAATTATTATCATAATCATCTGTGACATTCATGCACCGTATGTATCATGGGGGCGCTTGCCAGAAAATAAGGATTGTCCTTGTTAATGAGGATCATCTATGTAAACCCAGACGGACGTGTGATTAAAATTAGGATCGTCCGCATTTTTGCGGACGATTGTTATGAATGTTAAATCCTCGAGAAGACAGTGAACTGGGGAAATTAAATTACGCGGAATCCCTTTTTTTTTTTGCATTGCCAGCACGCAGATCGGAAACCCTACACCTACCGACAGTAGGGGCACTGGTCCGAGAATAGGGATTGCTTGCAGACCAATTCATCCTCAAAAATAACCCGAAACCCGCAGAGCACAGATGAAAAATCCTCCGCGAAAACGCAGACAATCCATATTTTTTAGGACAAATTTTGTCCGCGTTTATGACATCCTCGTTTACGAGGACCATACTCATTCTCGGACCAGTGCCCAGCCCCTACTGACAAAGCGCCGAAGAAATGCGGATCCTTAATTTATTTTTTCGAGGACGCGTCTGTCCGACTCGAGTTTACGCAAACGGTCCTTATTCCCGGACCAGCCCCCCCCCTTTTTTTTTTACTGATAGATTAGTTACATTACATGTAATATTTTTTCACACATCTCAATCAATAATCATTTTAAAAATAAAGTCCATCGATGTCGAACCTTCTTGCAAGAGATCATCGTCAGCTTCTTGGCCGGTGCCTTCCTGATCCCCTGAAAATCCAATTCCAAATTCATCACCAAATCCTTGTTCTGCTTCTGGGAGCGCTTCTTGTGCCAGTTCTACTACATCGTCATCAAAATTGTCATCTCCTTCTGCCTCGGTCGGTTCATCTTCATTTCCAACTTCCTCAGCATCATCGAGCAAAGCGTTTTCCAATCGCTCAATAAGCACAGCCTTCACTCCCTTGGAATCAAGCCCACGCGCCTGCAGTTCCGCACGAAGCTCGGCGACCTTCAATTTTGATGGCTCAATCCCACTCATTTTATCACCTTTGATTTTGCCTGTTTAAACTCAATATGTACGGGCTTAACCAGTGAGATATAAAATCACCGAATTTTGACCACAGAGTATTAAATGGTGCTTTAAATCGTTCAAGAAATTGGATCGACAGTGTAGGGGCCGCAGTACAAGTATACCGCGAACGCAAGCATGCTAGTACGTAATGACAAACTAAGTACACTTGATTTGAGAAATGTCCTTTGATTGGATATTCGATTTATCGAGTTTTCTTGTCATTTTTCCTAATATTTTGTTTTAAATCATAAAAACTTTCAAAATTATTTCATTTTAAAAAAAGTATTATAAAATATCAATATAATCTATCGTTTAGGTCTATTATGTCGAGAAAACAATTTAATTTGATTAATCTGAAATACAAGATAATAAAAATGTATCCAATCAGCGATGAGGTTACAAAAACAAATGGTGGCGTGGCTGTATATGTACAGAGCTAGCTAGCCACTCTTTTGTCGCATTGCTTTATGGGAGTAATAATGTAGTTCGCGGAGTACGCATCGCCGTTCTGGCGTGTTGTTCAGAACTTTGCATTTTAGAGCACCTTTTCTACCGATACGACGCGTCTGGAAAAAAAAAGGGTGAAGTAAATATAGCATCATAATGGCCAAACCGCCAGTCCAATGCATTCCCAATTAATTACCTGATTCCAAACTTGGAACTAATGTTCAAAGGGAATTTAATTATACGAAAGTTCATTTGTGTTAGGTCCAAACCAGGGGCGATGGAGCGCCTTCCAAAAAGGGGGGGGGGGGGGTGGGGAGGGCCGGGCGCTAACAAAAGGGGCCCTTTCCGGAAAAAGGGCACCGACCAAGAAAAACCTCAAAGCGAAAATATACCCTTTATATATCATATACATTGTGATATCATTATCATGGATGATGAAGTTGAAGTGTACTTCAGGCTTTCAAAGGAAAGTATAGGGGCATTTGTCAAAGTAAAAGAGGCACCTCTCCAGGCACGGGGAAATTCCAACATCTGTTGAACTTTTTTAGACCCCTCCACAGGACGTCGATCGATTGCATGTATGTGCCCCCCCCGGGCCCTCCCAAACATCAAACTCTGGCTACGGGCCTGCACCTCTCAGATTTGAATAGGGACAATTGTGAGATTGAAATGGGGCATTTATCAGAGGTGGTTACTTGCACTTATATAAGAATGTGCAACATTAGAAAAAGGAATCCTTATCCAAAGTAAAACTGGGGCACCGTTTTCCAATGTTAACAAGTATTTTTGTGATACAAGTTTTTGAAAAAGTGGGGGCATTGTGAACCCTTGCCCCCCCCCCCCCCCCCCCCCGGACCTCCGCCTCTGGTCCAAACTGGTCGGGCATTGTCAGGGGAAAAACAGGTGATTGCGAAAATGTATATTTTTTTTTTTATGTGAAAAGATTTTTAATTAATAATTTTGGACTGATATAGTAGGATGAAAAGTTATGTTTATGGCATAATTCAGAAATATGTTTCGTATAGAGTTATGTGGACTGGAAAATGATGATTATATTATTTTGTGTAGACATTTTTTCAAACCAAAAATAACCTTAGTTACCATTGCTTACAATAATATTAATACGTCACTATCTGTCTTTCATGATATTCAGTGTTTTTTTTCTAACTCTCATCATACATGCAGCCTTTGATTTGGTACGCAATTAGACGTTGGCGCTCTGATTGGATTGGAAATGTCATTTTTCATTTTACATTTTACATTTAAGCCCCACTGTCCTACTTGTAGCTACTTGCTCCCTCTATATAGAAAACTTCCCCAATCGGTGCCTGTTGGTCCCCCATGATCCTCTATTTCTTATGTTATTTGAGAGCTGAGTTGATGAGAAAGCCACCTATGGTATGATCGAATCTCTTTGAGATGTAAGGGGTATAGCGCCACCTTGAGAGAGTGAGAAAAAAAAAAAAGGAAAAAAAAAGAAAAGACGGGCCCGCTCCCCTGGCAAAACAATAAAGTGTTGTGTATCAGTGGTGCTCCGAGGGGGGGGGGGCGTGTTGAGTTAAAAGAAATTAGTGGGCACTTTCCCTCCTCCCTCCTCGTTGAGCACAAAAAAAAAAAAAAAAAAAAATAGTGCTCGCTTAACCCCTCGCTTATTGGCTGGCTGTTTCGCCGCTAAATGTTTTTCTCACGAATTGGGCCGCCCTCTCAGTGGCCCCCTAGTGCCTCCGGCTGCATCCGCCCTTTGTCCATCTTTATTGACCCACTTAAGTAACTATAAAGAGGGACCCGATTATGTTTATAAACATGTTTATAAACAGATTATTGATGTACATCAATTAAGTTTAATTTAAACAAAACGATACAGCATGTCGAGATCAACCGATATAGACACAGTGCTACGAAGGACGGGGCCTATACAGTTTCGATTAATTTCGACGTCCAATGTTATTTTGTTGATTTCTGTCATTAGCTATATATATATAAGCTGAGCTGAAAAAAGATAACATTTCAATGATTCATGAAGTCCTTTGAGTAATTTGATTATTATCGAGTTTGCAATATTATTGATGCCATCAAGTTACTAAATAGTCTCTCTCTTTTTTTTAGAGGTGGAAGAAAAGAGACAGATCATGGTCCACATCCAACTTGCCGAGCACCAGTGGTCGGCTGAATGTAGCCTCCATATATATATAAAGTGCCACGTAAAGATTAAAAATTTCCCCAAGTTTTTCACAAAAGGGTTATAGAGCAGGGGTGACCCAATAAATAAACCAATTCCCATATCTCAATTTCCTCTCCGGCTTGTTGTGGGACCTACCGGTCGGGCTCGGCTATCTCCGTTATATTTTTTTAAACATAGTTATCAGGTTGAAAATCTTTTGTAAGGAGAGGGGAGAAGCATCAGTTATGACTTGTATAGAAATTGATTATTATGAAGGAGCCCCCTTTATGTACAGGAATCTTTCTCTCCCTTTCGTTACCCGATTACACTCCTCTCTTTTTCTATCTCTCTTTCTCTTCCTCTTTTTCTCTTCTATTGTCTTCCTTCCTCTCTTCCTTACTTCCTTCCTAAGTTATTTCTTTCTTTCTTCATCTCCTTGTGACTTGTATCCCCTTCTATTTTCTTTTCCTATATATCCTATATATATGCATATTATTATTATTATTTTTTTTTTAATTCTTCATGCCACTTAGGGTGGTCGTGTCGCCCCTGGTTTCGCACATATCGGAGTCAGCATGACTGTCAGAGAGAGAAAAATGGGGGGGGGGGATGATGGGAGAACGGTCATCATCTCGTAGAACTTAGGTTCACACGGAGCCCCCCCCCCCTCCCCCCCGGCACTCCCTACCCCATCTCGGGGTCGGAGGGACAGCACCCAAATCTCCGGTAGAGGGGTACTTTTCGCGCGACAAAAATCCGGCCCGAGAATTGTAAAAACGAAAAGGGGGTGTATTTCACTTTTCACCCGGAGATTTCTTTAAAAAAAAAAAATTTCTCTCTCTTTGGACTCCTGAGAAATGTAAAAAGGGGGTTATAAAATATCTTGAATATCAAAGAAAATTTGATTTAGGGGGGTCTCACGATTCAAGGCAGGAAAAGCCCGCGAAAGGGGGACCAGATATTTTGGCAGCCCTGCATGAGATAAGGGATGCTTTCAAAGGGAGCTCGGAGGGAACGAGCATACGCGTTCCCCCCAAAAAAGAGTTGGGGGGGGGGGGGACATAGAGAGTGTATATTTGTCTCATCTCCCTGATCTGTCTGATGATGGTATAAAGCAAAGGTCAAGCATACTCTCTTAATTTCTAGGACTTAAATTTTAAATCCATTTTGAGACTTAAAATATTTCAAGTCTTTAAGACTTAATAAATTGGGAATTCGACTAAAAGTTTTATCGAAACCAGCTTCTAGATATAAATCTTGGAAAGACTTAAACTTCTCGCCAATAAGATGTGCATATTTCCAGTTGCACCTGTTGATGACTGACTGTTGGCATATTTCCAGTTGAACCAGCTGACACCAATTAATTTGCATATTGAATATGGGGTGCGTGCAGATCTATGTTTTTTTAACAATTTTTCTGAATTTACAGCATCTTATATTACTGATGATTTAGGTATATGCAATTCATTTCGAAAATACTACAAATATAAATTACAAGTTATTAGGACATTTCGCTACTTCGTATGAATTCCATTTAATTAAATATGAATAAGAGAAACATTAACTATGAACTAAAATAATTTCAATAAAATACAAGTATATGAAAAAAAATTCGATTAATTAAATTATGTATAAGTCTACTTATTACCAATGCCTTTACATTGATAATACAGACGTACCAGTATTGAAGTGTTGTTGCCGTTCAATTGGTTAGAAGTTTTACCAAATGGTTCTAATGGCTTAGCTAGACCAGTAAATCTAAAAGACTTGAAATATAAATACAATTGACTTAAACTTTAAATCTTTCAGGGACTTAAAATTTTAAGTCTTAGCTTAGATTTATTTTTGAAATGAATCCAAGAAAGGTTTAAAATAAATATTAAAAGACTTGAAATATAAATCCAATTGACTTAAATTTTAAACCTTTTCAGGGACTTAAAATTTCAAGTCTTAGCTTAGACTTATTTTAAATCCCAAAGGGTTCGTCACTAATATCAGTCTCTGTTAGATTTAAAAGTAAGACTTTAATATTTAAAAATAAGACTTTCAAATTTAGAGAGTAGAGCCAATACAAATCATGTCGGATACAATTGCGCAATATACATGAGGGTAATTCCGGGGGGGGGGGGGGTAATTATGAGGAACTCCCCCAAAGTCCCACCCCCCCCCCCCCCCAAAAAAAAATATATATATAAAAAAAAATGGTGGCCCTGAAGGGACATCGCGAATAGACTAAATCGTGAAAAATATGCGATCAAATTCACGATATCGTCAATTTTATCGCATATTTTTCACGAGGAAATTCACGAAATTGACGATATCGTGAACTTTATCGTGAACTTTTCACGATGAAATTGACGATATCGTGAATTTTATCGTGAAAAGTTCACGATATAAAGTTCACGATATCGTCAATTTTATCGTGTACTCTATCGTGTACTCTATCGTGTACTCTCCTGACGGGCGCTTCGTAAACAAAACCAGCCCTAGCTGGGGGAGACAGAGAGAAGGAAAAAAGGGACAGGGAAAGAGAAGATAAAAGGAAAGAAAGAATAATAAGAAGAAAAGAGGGAAACGGGGGAGGGGCGAAGGGCTCTTGCCTCCTCCTCACTCCCCCCCCCCCGCCAAAAAATAAATAAGGAGAGAGAGAAGGGAAAGGGAAAGGGAAAGAAAATATAAAAGGAAAGAAAGAAGAGGAAGAAGGAAAGAGGGAAACGGGGGAAGGGCGAAAGGCTCTTACCTCCCCCCCCCCCCCGCCAAAAAAATAAATAAGAGAGAGAGAGAGAGAGAGAGAGAAGGGAAAGGGAAAGAAAGAAGAGGAATAAGAGGGAAACAGGGGAAGGGCGAAGGGCTCTTGCCTCCTCCCCCCCCCGCCAAAAATAAATAAGAGAGAGAAGGGAAAGGGAAAGAAAATATAAAAGGAAAGAAAGAAGAGGAATAAGAAGGAAAGAGGGAAACGGGGGAAGAGCGAAGGGCTCTTGCCTCCTCCCTCCCCACCCCCCGCCAAAAAAATAAATAAGAGATAGAGAGAGAAGGGAAAGGGAAAGGGAAAGAGAAGATAAAAGGAAAGAAAGAAGAGGAAGAAGAAGAAGAAAAGAGAGAAACGGGGGCGAAGGGCTCTTGCATCCCCCCGCCCAAAAAATAAATAAGAGAGAGAGAGAGAGAGAGAAGGGAAAGGGAAAGAGAATAAAAAATGAAAGGAAGAAGAATAAGAAGAAAAAAGGGGCTCTTGCCTCCTCCCCCCTCCCGCGCCAACAAATAAATAGGAGAGAGAGAGAGAGAGAGAGAGAGAGAAGGGAAAGGGAAAGGGAAAGAAAATATAAAAGGAAAGAAAGAAGAAGAAGACGGAAAGAGAGAAACGGGGGAAGGGCGAAAGGCTCTTACCTCCCCCTCCCCCCTCCCGCCATAAAGGGAAAGAGAAGGGAGAGGGAAAGAAAATATAAAAGGAAAGAAAGAAGAGGAAAAAGAATAAGAAAAGAGGGAAACAGGGGCGAAGGGCTCTTGCCTCCTTTCTTTTCTTTCTTTTCCTTTCTTTCCTATTCTCCCTCTTTTTCGTTTTTCTCTTTCTTTCTTCTCTTTCCCTTTCCTTCTCTCTCTCTCTCTCTTATTTATTTTTTGGCGGGGGCGGGGGGACGAGGCAAAAGCCCTTTGCCCCCGTTTCCCTCTTTTCTTCTTCTTCCTCTTCTTTCTTTCCTTTTATCTTCTCTTTCCCTTTCCCTTTCCCTTCTCTCTCTCTCTCTGATTTATTTTTTGGCGGGGGGGGGAGGGGGGCAAGAGTCCTTCGCCCTTCCCCCGTTTTCCTCTTTTCTTCTTCTTCCTCTTCTTTCTTTCCTTTTATCTTCTCTTTCCCTTTCCCTTTCCCTTCTCTCTCTCTCTCTGATTTATTTTTTGGCGGGGAGGGGGGGGGGAGTGAGGAGGAGGCAAGAGCCCTTCGCCCCCCCCCCCGTTTCCCTCTTTTCTTCTTATTATTCTTTCTTTCCTTTTATCTTCTCTTTCCCTTTCCCTTTTTTCCTTCTCTCTGTTTCCCCCAGCTAGGGCTGGTTTTGATTACGAAGCGCCCGTCAGGAGAGTACACGATAGAGTACACGATAGATTACACGATAAAATTGACGATATCGTGAACTTTATATCGTGAACTTTTCACGATAAAATTCACGATATCGTCAATTTCATCGTGAAAAGTTCACGATAAAGTTCACGATATCGTCAATTTCGTGAATTTCTTCGTGAAAAATATGCGATAAAATTGACGATATCGTGAATTTTATCGCATATTTTTCACGATTTAGTCTATTCGCGATGTCCTTTCAGGGCCACCATATGCTAGAGCCAGGAGGCGCGTTTCCGTTTTACACCCTGCCCTAGGCTTTTCTCCAATAAAATTTTACAAACCGACTGGTATTCGGAGTCTAGTCGTCCACATCTTGCCTCGGCGCTCTGCACACCACCAGAACTCTGAAAACGTCACGTAGCGCTAGCTAACTCTCTATACTAGTTGATCTTCCTAGTCGTATCATTTATTTTTATCCATTAATACGCAATACTCTAAGAGCGTGAGGATGCGTGATCAGCTCGCAAAATTTAGCCCAGCGATAACAAAACAATAATATATCGGGAAAACCGTCTTGAACAAGAAGACCCTCGCATCCCCAATTGAAATTGTACATAAGCTTTGGCTTCGCTATTCTTGACGTCGATATAAACAAACTTAGACTTCGGATACAGCATGTTTCGTGTAATTTCTTGCCGAAAAGCCTAGGGCAGGGTGTAAAACGGAAACGCGCAGCCAGGAGTGGGAGCGAGCAGCGTTGTGGTATATTGATATGGTATTGGCCAACTGCTCTATCTGCCTCGTGATCTAGTCTTAATTTTATTGTGTTTGTTATCTTTCGAATGACATTGTTTTAATTTAAGAAATTCAGTTCATGTTATATTTTGAAGATATATCAGTCATTGAGAGACTGTTTAAATTATGCCACATTTATATGAAGTTTTATCTTTTATTTCCCCGTATCAATTTTTTTATTGAACAATTTTAGGTCTCAGTTCAAACATTCATCGTGAGGTCTGACATTTAGACTACCACGCTAGCAACATATCAACAGACTTCGACATGGCTCAGGCAGAAGAGAAAGAAAGTGCCGGTAAATAACGCCTAATCGTTTTGCTTGGTTATTTATATTTTAAAATGTTTCTCAAAATGGTTTTAAAATACATTTAGAACCAAAATGGTTATCATTAATATAGATCTAGACCGAATTAAAGTTCAAATTGTTAGTTGATTTCTCGTTGTCGCGATGTGATCACATTCACATTCACACCGGCCCACGGCTCTTGCAGTAAAGTGGCAGTAGTGTTGTGCCGTGCATGGGCATGGCTGGCCTACTAGACGGCGCGCCATTCGTTGAATATACCCGGCTCGGCCTCGGCCCGTAGTAGTAGATCTAGATCTAGTAGCAAACAGTATTTTTAATTGCCTCAAAGAAAAAAATACAGCAATAACAAATTCTGTACCAATTATTTTTACACTTGTCCTTATACTTAAACTTTTCTTTATAGATATCTACTTAAACTTGTCTTTATACTTAAACTTTTCTTTATAAAATTATAGATAGGTCTAGACTCTAGATCTATCTAGGGTCTACTTAAAGTAACTTGTCTTTATTTATTATAGGTCTAGTCTAGATCTACTTAGACTCTAAACTATAGATTTACAATAGGATATCATAACAAAAGTAAATTGACTTGGAATTTAAGGATCTGGAGAAAATGTGTAATTCCATGTAAGTTGAGCAGTATGACTCTGCCCTTAGATGTTTTTCAATAATGTTGTTAATTACAGTTTTGTCATATTTTGAAAAGCAATCAGCGTCTACACCCGACATTTCACTTTGACCTAGATCTAGGCCTGCAGTGTAGAAAGTTTGAAAAGAGTCCATATAACATGTTCAGAGGTGAGCAGTGCAGAGTCCTGTCAAATAATATACGTCTACACCAAAATTTTCCTTTCCCACAGAATCACTGCTGGCGGATATTCAAAAGAAAATAACAGATGCATTTGATATCTTTGACCATGAGTCAAACAAGACTGTTGATGTCAGGTGAGTATCTAAAATTTTATTGCTTGAAAATTGAACATTGATCCGCTTAGTTAGATAATTATTGATAAGAAAGTAAATTGGGAAATTAGATTATAGGAATAAGCTTAGTGTTATTGTGTATAAGTTTCATACTACATTTTATTTTCTACAAGAAGTTGTTTCGCCAACATTAAAACACTTTTTTTCTCGAGATAATTCTTCGGTAAGAGTGTAAATGCATTTCTTTGAAAATGTTGATGAAATTGTATTAAAAAAGAGACTTAGTAATTGGTTGTTACTACCCCCTCCCCCCCCCCCCTCCCTAAGAAATATTAGCATGTATTGTATTCTATATATTGTTATTCTTAAAGAAACCAAATTAATTGTATCACATTTAAAAACAAACAAAATAATAAAATATTGTCACTTGTAACTATATACATGTTCATACAAGAAAGCTTATAATATACACACATACTCAGATCTGTCTCAGATCTATTAAGTGTTTTAGCTTCTTTTTTATCCCTGAATATTCTTTAAAAAATCAAAACAATATTTAATCTAAATATTTGATGTGGCAGGGAAATTGGGACCATTATCAGATCATTAGGCTGCTGTCCTAGCGAAGGTGAACTCCATGATCTTCTCTCTGAGATGGAAGAAGAGGAGGCTACTGGATACATCAAGTATGATCGCTATAAGCCCGTCATGAGGGAAGTCCTCATGGAACGCAAGTAAGTTGCTATCAAGTTAAAATATTCAGGAAAAAGTGGAGCTGGGGTGACATACATGTATATTCATGGCTGCAGCACCCTTTCTATATTCAGAAATAACCAAACTCGATCAGAATGTCACTCAACGTCATCATTTATTCAAGTCAGCATTTTTCCTCTTAAAAGGGGTTACTGTCTTGTGAGCCATGATGACACTCCCTCCCTCCGTCTCGAGCATCTTCCTCATTTAAACCAACCTTACTGCTTTCTTTCTTCACCAGATCTTTCCATATCATGCCATCCACTTTCAGATCCCATGCTCGTTTCACAGGTTCATCATCTTCCCATTTGAACACATGACCCATCCATCTCAATCCATTTCTCTTACAACTTCCACCAACCCTTCCACGAGTTCAGTTGTGTCACTCCCTCAAAATTTGTGAAAACAAAAACAAAATAAAACTTCTTATCATACTGTGTAAAAGTCTTTTGATTAATTTATACAATTTTAATAATGTTTTCCATTCATTGTTGATTATTTTGTCCCATGTATTTTCCTAAAACAATGTTTACATAAACACTGTACATTTTTTTTGCACCTACACTGTACTTTGTAACGAATATTTACACCCTCAGAATGGATATGTGTGCATTATCTTTGTGTTCTTGTTATACAATTATTTATCATGAGGGAAGTCCTCTCAGAATAAAAGTGAGTTGAATTAAGTATCTTTATAGATGCAAAGAAAGATTGAAAGAGTAGATGTGTGTATGTTGTATGACACATGCTGCAGTAACTTTCATACTATGGTCAGTTCCTAACTTACATCCTAGACCCAACACTAAACCTCAGTACTTGAACTAACCCCAAACCAAATCAATACCAAATTGAAGCTTAATTAAGTCCAAATCCTTTATTTTAAATGCTTGGTAGTCCACTTCCGACTGATGAAACTTCATCTGATTTTCAATAGCATTGTGATGGAAATTGTTTATGCTCATGTAAATCATGTATATTTGACCATTTATGTAGAAAAGGAAATCTATTACTATCTCCAACATCAGATTATTAAAAAAATAAATGTATCCAGTTTGATCTATGATGAAGTGGAGAAGTGTGATTGATATTTTCCCCATTTTTGCATGTTCATTGTGACTTTGTACTATGATTTTCTTGGAAACATACTGCTGTCTTCCATTTATTTTGAATTCAGCTGCTTTAAAAAAAACTTTTAGAGGAATTCAATATGCCTACTAATTTTAGTTCTAATATATTTAGGAAAACTGCCTGATAACTCATCTTTGTGAACAAATTCTTTCTAATTATTGTATCTTGTTGCCATCTAGGTTCAAACCATGCCCAGAAGACCAGCTTGTGAAAGCGTTTGAAGTGTTAGATGTTGAGAAGAAAGGTCACCTTACAGTTGAAGAGATGACAAAACTCATGTCTGAAGAAGGTAATCATTGTTTTCCATTTCATAATACATGTAATTATTATTTGTATATTAATATATTCACTTATTCATTGAATTATGTGAAATGATTTAAATTCACAATTTATGAAAAGTAAAAACAACATACTGGTATACACAATTTTACTATAATACAGTTGATCAAGTAATACAATAGTGTTCAAGTGGATTGAAGTACGATAACTGTGACATGTGCAAAGTGGTTTGTAGGCCAACAGCCAATTAAACATATATTATAGAAAACTTTTAAAAAATGAAAAAAGGTTGTAATGTTATGGTACTCTGTATTTATACTATGGTAAAACAAGTAGTTTGTTACATATAAGTCAACATGTAGCGGTAAGTGCATTGACAATAGGACCGGAGTTCAAATAGCAATTAAAAATTGGAAATTGATTCTTAGTGAAAAACAGGAGAGAATTTAATTGCAATTATGTCTATTATCTAAGCTCCTTGTGAGATGATTCTAGAATTCCAGCATTTGATGGCTCTGTCAAATCTGCCAGAAAACCTATTGTTTTCCAATCCCAAGACATCTGCAGTTTGTACCCAATATTTATTATCATTCCCATGATAGTGCAAGCTGAAGTCTAATATGACATGTTTTAGTTATGCTGATCGAAGCACACATATCTCTGCCCTCAGTTCTTAATTCTGTTCCATCGCTTTTGTATTTGGAAGGGCATAGGGATATTTACAAAATCATGGAGGTATGAAATGAAATGGTTACAAATCGTTTATTTTTGGTATTTGAACTAGCATACATTTGATATGACCTATTGATTATTGTTGTTATCGTATGACAGGAGAGCCATTCACACAAGAAGAATTGGAGGAGATGCTGTCAGCTGCCGTGGACCCAGAAAAGGGACATGTCTTATATAAAGATTATGCTTCAATGATGACTCTAGATGCAGAAATGTGATACCACCCTCTTTCTATCCTAGGCACTCATTGAAAATATGGAGTGAAATAAGTTATTTCCAGAATATAATACATGAGGATGCATTCGCTTAAACGGACTTTGTAACATTGTTCAGATGAGAGATAGTGGTGCTAAGGTAGTGACTTTAATGCTAGATGTACAATTAAAGATAATCTGAAAATTTGAGCGAAAACGGAAAATTATTCATGGTACAAATTGGGAAAAACTGATCCGATCGATTCCTTAATTCTCCCAACTATATTATTACAATTTAATTACATTTTAGATGAATGGAAATCTCACAAAGCAATAAAATGGCTCTTTGTTAAAAATCTTCATATTGCGTGAATTAATTTTGGATTTGGGGCATCGTAGTTGGATTATCCATTCATACACACATAAGTTTACGTGTTTTGCATCATGATTCAACAGATTTGTGAAATCAACCATCACAATGTTACTAAGTACCTTTAACATATCTGAATGCCGTTTAGACCAGTAATATAGAATTATATTGCTGGGCATTGAGAGCTGTATTGGGCTTTGAACAGGCAATCACCCTATGATGCCATTTTAACCATAAAATAGGTTTCTGAATTTATGTTTGATATCTAGCCTTCGAAATTCATATTATTTCATATCAAAGCCTGGCAAATGTATTTGTACCTCAGTGGCAGTATTGAAAATTATCCATCTTGAAATTCTAAAAAGAATTCAAATAGCAATATCAATAGTTTTCTTGAAGAAGGTAACATTCTTGTCAAATATATATAGATGAATTACTTAAAAAAATATTGCTTCTGTCTAAAATAATTGTAATGCCTTTCCAGCTAAGAGTCAAGCTAAATTTTAGATGAAAAATTTGGAGTTAAAAAGGACTTTATGCTTTACAATATCTAATATAATTTAAATCATTTTGATTAAATTCAATGGTAGTATTTTTGATGTAAGATGTTATGTATAGTGTAAATAGTTGTAAATAAAATGCACAAGAAAGAAAAATATATATATATTGTTTTTCTTCAGCCCATGAGTTTTCCATTGTGTTAAATATGTTACTCAGAAAAATCATTCAAATCAAGTTTACAGATATTTGTAAACATGATGAACTTATTATTTGTTCGCAAATTATATTGAAGTGTATGAAGAAAATTGCAATATGTTTGTTGCAAGTCTACTTCATGATTACGAGAGAGACATAATAGAGACAGAGAGAAAGAGACAGATACAGAGAGGGTCAGGGAGCCAGAGAGAGAGACAGAGAGAGAGAGATAGATAGAGATAGATAGAGAGAGAAAGAGAGGCAGAGACAGAGAGAAGAAAGAGGGAATAAGATAAGGAAATTAGGTAAAAAAATGTGGGAATATGATTGTGACAATGTAATAAAGATTGTGTACCTCGCTAAAGGGTATAGACATACATTTCTAAATCTTTTACCTTTGATTGCTGAAATAGTGACATCAATGTTCATAATTTGGATGATATGTGGACTGAGATGTGATAGCAGATGTAGTCAAAGAATGGTCATAACTTCAGAATTCTTTTTTTTTCCTTTCACATTGTCTGAATTCATTGCATCTTTCTAAAAAGGCACACAATGAAATTCACAAAATGATTTAGTTATTTAGCCTTCACACCACCTAATGCCCAGTAAAGCCAAATTTAAAATGTAAAATTACTTCAGCTTAAATATGAAATAAAGTCAACCAAGATGAAAAGCTCGGTTATCTAAATTTTATTCATCATTTATGCATGTATACAATTATATATACAGTATTTCAATTTTCTTCACATATTGGCAAAATACAAATAAAAAATAAAGGCATTGTGCAGCAAGTGTCACAATAATGAAGAAACGTAAGCTTTCTTGATCAATAGAGATTACCTTTCTCGTGTAAACAAAAAAAATCTATATAATGTGACAACCATCAGTGCTCTGTCTTATCAAGAGTTGCAATTTACCCAAAGAGATTGCAAATTAACTTGATATAGAAATGAATCGCAATGCTGTATATCAAGAGACAAGCAATTGTAAGTTTGTGATTACCAACTGAATGTAATAAACTGCAACTTTTATAAGCAGGGGCCCAGTTGTACTACCCTGTTAAATGTACTTTCACCTCTTCTGTATAAATAACTTCCTTTATAAATGTGGTTATCTTTCTTCTTATCCAGTCAAATCAAAGAAATTAACAAATTGAGTAGAGATCTAGTGGATAACCAATTATGTACATTTCTCTGGATTACTACCTATAAATGCAAAGATCAATCTTTATTTTAACACAAGGCCAATCCTAGGCACTAAGATGAAATAATCACTAATCCCTGCATTTTACCATAATGCCAAAGAAGCTCCCGTAGCCCACAGGGATGGGATGTGAACCCAGGGCCTACTAGTTCCAAGTAGTTGACCTATTCAACCAAACTAATCTGTCAATTAGGTCAATTAGGTTAATCTTTCAATAGCTATTTAAGTATTTAAAAAAAAAAAAATCCATTATTTTGAACTTTATATATATTTTTTAATTGAAGCAATCTTTAGCTGCTACATGAAGGCCTTTAAATTGATTTGAATATGTTTCTTTTATTTACAATGAAATGCAGCATGAAATATATGACCTAAAATGATTTTAAACATAATAAATGTTATGGTAAATAAAGACGTTCCTTTGCAAAGTTTTGCTGAACATTTACACCTATGATCAAGGGAGTCTGGGAATGTAAGATCTATCACAACCATGTAAAATAATCCATCAAAATTAAAAATTAATAAAACAATGCCAGTTCACCAGAGTTTCCTTAAAAAATGAAGTGTATTTTCAAAGTATATCTTGACCCTGAATGACAAAGTGTTGTGATGGATCAAAATCAATCTTAAGTTCTTGAATGAGTCATAAAATTCCATCTGCCTATTTGTTATGATAAATTGCAAATGATATAAAACTTTACTCTTACCTCAAGACAGGGATCACTACGTCTTTTTTAACATGGCCAAAACCAAGTATGTTTAGACAGGAATATATTTTAACAAAACCACCCAGTATTTATATATTTTTCCATAGTTATAACAAATTTTTCTAACCACACAACGCTGCCCCAATAATTTTCACATAACATTCCTGGTTTACCATGATAAGAGTTCATATAACAGAGTTGTACACATGGTGCTGAAGCATTTGCTATAATAGGTTTTCCTTCTTTCACGTTTACAATTTGATTGATCATCTCACAGCTTTGAAAACTCTGCCTTTGATTTTGTCATGCTTGCCATTACTGCATTTGCAAGATCCTCAGTCTGTAGATGGGCTGCGTTCCACGTTGCCTACAGGAAAAAACAAAGAATGCAAAGATTAGACAACACTTATCAATATTCATGACTATCTTTGGTCTGTAATATTTGTTCATAAGTTTGTAATGACAAAGAATTAATTATGCATGGTACACATCAATTCAATCTCCTCTATTGTGTATTAAGAGACAAGAGTATCATTTTCTACAGATATAATAAATGAGCATACAATTTGCACATACTTCAGGTAATGCACCATTACAACATGCAAACTGAACAGTATGCCTCCATCACGTCTCACATCAATCTCTCTTTATTTTCTCTCAGACTCCAAAATAGTATAGAAGACATTTCAAGTGGTTTAAATACTTGAGTGGAGATGTGATGGCTGTAGGTTTTATTAAAGCAAGGCACACAACTCGTGTCCTTAGTCAAGGTATTTTCATCTGCATTACTTCTCTCCACCCGGGTATAACTGTGGTATTTTCGAGTAGTAGGATGTGATTTTGATTTGTGCATATCTGTACAAGGCGACTGGCTGTAATGCTCCCCAGAGGAGTGGTGCACTATATGTGCAGAATAGTAATTAATCCAATGATCAGGAAATATTAATCATATTTAAAATGTTGATATACAGTATTATTTCACATTTTATAAATCTAACTGATATTCTTTATACAATTACAATGAACTGTAATGATTATATTTGTCTAGGTTGTTTGGTGACTGTCCTCTTTAAGGAATATGACAGTGATTTGTGTGAAATCTGAAAGTGATGTCTGTGGATTACTGGATTCTACTCTTGACTTACAATATACTCGAAGCTTTCTGCTACGGTATGATCTCGGCTGTAGTTCAGATTAACTTTAGTGCCCTGCATAGCCACTGGACTCTTACTGGCGATAGTTGCTGCTAGCTCCATAGCACTACCCATCATGGCTTCTTGGTCTGGGTACAGGCGACTACCCAACGCCAAGTTAGACAAAGATACATTTAAAACAAAAAAGGATAGAATAATTAATTTATTGCACATTTGTGAACAATAAATGAATACAGATCTCTACAGCAAAATGAAGTTACAAACATGGTTGTAAATGATTTCTTAAACACTGATAATTGGAACTTCTAGAGTACAAAGCATCATTTTGAATCTAAAGAAAAACAATGGATGGTGGTGAAAAAGAAAGTTAATGGGCAATTACACCTAATCACTACACATTTGAGTATTAACTGAAACATATTTGACTTCAAAATTTATCAATTTCTGGAAATGCATATTTATTGTAATTGATCGGAAAATAAACACATTTTTATAAGGCAAACTTTAAATGGCACATGGATAATTTTATTCAGTGAGACTAAATTTTATCTTATATGAATCCATAAACTTTCTATAATTGTTTAAAAAAAAGTAAAAGGGAGAATAAAAGGGGTCTTAAGGATAAAATAATGAATTGATACAGAGAAACTGATAAAAAAAAATGAAGATAAGATAGCAATATATGAATAAAGAGATCATCTCTCACCTGATCAGACCTAATTCCTTGGCTTCACTTGAATCAAACTTCCTTGCTGTGAAACAGAGCTCTCGAAGCAGACTGTCATTAGATGTCTTCTTTGGTAACCACTGAAGCACTCCTACATCTGCAGCTAGACCAAGGTCTGTTTCCTGTATAAACCACACAACCAGAACTTTTCGTAATTTGAATTATTTTGGTTGCAACTTTTACAAAGTAAATGTTTAAATCTACAGTAATGTTATTCAATAAATAATAATTATGTTGTTGTTTGTTTTTGTTATTTTAATAAATTAATTACTTTCTTATGACAAGGGTCAAACCTACTTCCATGTTTAAGAGGGTATCAAATAACGAGGCATTCATATAAATTAAAATTCTTGCTGCCACTGAAATCATTGAAATAGGAGCAAAATGATGTATCCTCTTCCTGAAAATACCCATAGCATTAAAGCAGATATTCATTGATTTTAAAAACTAACTTTATTTTCATTATTGCACAGTTGACTCTTTGATTCGACAAGGTTATCAAAATTCAATGCTTGGAAACATTCGAAGTAATGATTATCATAAATTACAAAACGCTTAAATACAGCCCCGGCATAGCACCTGAAGAGCTCTCCGAACGCTGCTGAGATGTGTGAGATCACAGTATGGACATGATTTGCACAAGCAGACGATGTCCCATGACATCTCACACATTTTCAGTGCCTGTGTTTTCATTTTCTCTTGAGTTCTTTCTCCTACTTCACTACCGTCGGGCTAAATGTACAATCTATTGCCTCACTCTAAACCCCGCGCATGTTTTTATTTTGATGACAAATGCAGGGATACAAAAATAAAGGAATCTGTCGCTTGTAAAGAAAATAAGACACCATTGTATATTCAGCTGCACACACCGCGGTATGTTTGGCGTTTCAAGAGGGAACAAATGCCGTCCTTAATATCATTCCGGGGGTTTTCAATTTGAAAGTCTAGTTTCTTTGATTGTTAATTAACCCCTATCCTGTGTATTACAAGCAAAAGAATTTAGTTATCAAAATCGGGTCATATCCCGTTTTGAATGGTTTGACATGCCATCACATTTATATACACGAAACTCATTATAATAATTTGACAAATAATAGCTTTGCAATTATGTTCATTCTTTATGGGATGTCGTCTGCTTGGGCAGTATTGGTCCATATAGTGACGTCAATAAAACATCGTTTTTTTTCCGGCGAATCTCTCGTGTATCCCAGCTGCTATGGAGGTGGTTGTTTTTATATTTTTATAAATCACCCGATATGTAGTTCACCTAAAACGTGTACGATGGCCATCTGTTAGCTTACCACTTTCTAGTGATACATTAGTGGACATATTTGTGATTTTCTTTGAATTTCACCTTTAACAAAAATAATACTATATTAAATTTCAATTTCATGCTATTACATTTTCTAGCTGACAAAATAATAAAGGGAGAAACTTATTGACATGCAGAAATGCCAACCTCTTGACACAAAAAAACAGACTGAGTATCCTAAAAAATCAGATTTTGGAGAAAACTCGACACTACCAATGGCCGGTTGGCTCTGGGCCAGTAAAATTTCAGAAAAATGTGATACTGGTATGTACGGTCGAGTAAAATGTTTGCTCTTTCATTAAATTTTAAAAGAAAATTGTAAAGCAAAGTTTTTATTGGGGTTGCGGGGGTTTACTGGTACATGTTTCTATGTGATTCTGTTGTTTTTATGGGTATTACAAAACATATTCCACTCTTGTTATCGTACTGGTTGGCATCTCTGGACATGTAGTTATTTAATTCTATTTGTTAAAGAACATTTCAAACTAGTGAGGACCTTACGCTGGTCTAACAAACACATTACACCTTTTACTGTATGTCTCCTACTGGAGCTGCTTTATAAAGCTTGCATGATTGAAAAATTAACTATTGAGAATACATGGTACATTTGGAATGAAAATCTTCCATAAGCTACACATGCAAATCAACCCAGATTATTTTTTACTCTCACAGTGCTGTATAATAAAGTGTTAACAATACTGGACAAACAAGTTCACTTTGCAGCATGATAATGCAAACAAAAATAGCTTGAACAAATCAAATATGACCACTTCAGGACAGTGAGAGTGGACTTTGGTTTTGTTTGCATTACTGGAGCAGCAAATAATTAACTAAGCCTCACATCACTCTGAACTAGTATCATTTTGGAGATGGGATGATAAATGGAGCTTACTTACCTTAATTTGGAACCAAGCATCTTCAGTACACAACCTGATATCACATCCAGAGATCATACAGAGTCCTCCTCCTAAACAGGCCCCCTGGACGGCTGCTATCACTGGCTTAGGACACTATCAGAACAATGACAAATACTGACCAATTATTATTTCATAACATAAAGAAGCAACTCTTTTTTTTCAAATGAGACTAAATGTAAACACAACATCTATCAAAGATTATTATCAATAGATTCTTAGGTCTTGCTGCCTGGTTACAAGAATCACAGCGTTCTCATACAGTATAGCAGAGAAAATCATACTATACACAAAAGTATCTTGATAATAATGATAGTAACATTATAATAGCACCGAATACTAATGTATCTAATCGCTGTACTATTAGTAGTCCTACATTAGCCTAACAGCCCTGATTAGGCGCTGCATTCAAGGAAATTCTTCCTACCAGGTTTCCATTTACATCACCTGGGTGGGGAGTGGAAAATGCAGGTTTATGTCTTGCCAAGGGACATTATGTCCACAGTGGGACTTGAACTACGAACCATCTGATGCACTACGTGTGTAAACACTGTTTAAATGCTCAGTTCACTACATTTCAAAGAATAATACCAGTTGTTTTAGAACACAAGCACAAGCTTTAATAAATATTCGAAAGACAGAAGACTCAAATGAATGAAGATATGGTCTTATATCTTTGTAACAACTTTTTGAAGGGTTAATCATTAAACCATATTTTCATGGGCCAAAAGCTTCCGTCAAAACCTTTGATCTCTTAGACCTTTAACTGCCCAGGAGCCATTTGACAATTTTTCATAAGTTTTTCAAATTCTATTTTATTTTATGACAAGCCAAACTGACCTTCTCAATAACAAAGAAAGACTCTTGATACTCCTTGATCTTCGATCTGAGTTTATAAGCGATACGTGATACATCAAGATCAGTTGATCCCGGAATAGCACCCTGCATCAATTCAGCATTATCCTGTAGATCGATACCTGCCAAGAAAAAATATAGTAAAATATACCGGTAATCACATCATAATCAATATTACGTACAAAATAAGATCAGACCATTGACTTTACTATTCACAAATGAACCAAGAAAAATATATCATAAAAGCAAGTAATCTAATAAAAAATGAATAAAACCTTGCAGTTGGCTGAGTGAGATGAATGGTAAAAACAAATGAAAGCTAGTATTGAAACGAATGAAAACACTGTTCATTTCAGTTGCTTAAAATCAGTCACATAGACACTTACACAAAGCAATGTACATGTAAGTATAAACTTAATCCATATTTATACTGTAGGAGCAAAATTGCATTCCATGCCACTATAATAAACAAAACCTAAGACCAATACATCAAATGAAAGTTTATTCATCTTCACATATGTACAAATAACACGAATACTATCTCATATCAATAAAAGAGAATGCAATACTGATTACTTAAAGATAAACTTTAGTACTGGTAATGCGATTGCATTGTGAAAGAAAAGGTGTGGAAAGGATCAGAAACAGTTGATCATGTAGCATGTAAGTATTGGTGTGCACTGCAAGGTTCTGGAGTCATCAAAATCATAATAAATTTGACCGAGTCTTGGTAAAGTAACAAGCACTCACATAGAAAGCTATATATGGGACAACACACATGGTGTCGGGGCTGGTACTACCTTGATTTCCTTGTCTTTCTATGCTCATTACTCAGTTAGTATACATTTTCTTCCGAAATTGTTTGGCACATGTCATTTATTTGTGATCTTGAACATTCAGTGTAAGTTTCGTTTGATTCTGTGAGAATTTTTTTTTTTTTTTTTACCAGTACTAGAGTTTATCTTTAAGTGCAGCAGATGGAAAAGACAGCAGAAAATAATATACACAGCCATATGTTCAATTGGTAAGAGAATGTCAGAGAAAGAGGAAGAAACAAAGAATAACACATAGAATATAAAAAGGGTAAGAGCAATTACATTAAGACTGTGAGACAGCATTGGATGTGGTTCATGTTTCCAACTTACCAGCAGAAAACGTCTTGCCTGCCCCAGTTAATAGCACTACTCTGCAGTCTTCGTCAGTTGCAATGGTATTAAAACATTCTACCATCTCTCTAAAAGAAGAGAAAATAAACAATTGTTCTTCTTGTAAAATTATGGTTTCATTGTTATTAATTATGTTGGAAAACTATCTACTTATAATTATGATTTATAATTCATGTAATACAGGAATATTAAATCTGAATTAATGTTACGTTTAAATAAAACCGTTGTTGACATAAGCATGGACTTGTTGAAAACAGTCTGTTTTGGGTGAATGTGAGTTTTATCATGGAAACATATAAAAATGCAATACAAAATTATAATTCAGTATATCCTAATTTGATTTTGTTTTCCTCAAGAAAATATTCAATGTAATTTATGGACCCACTGCATATTTGGGTCATGTTTTTCATTTAATTTTCCTTCCGTTAAATTGATCTAACTTGATACAGTTTACTGAATACAGTTCCAATGTTGTGTTCAATTGCATGCAGAGGCACTTCATACTGCTGATACTGGAAGTATAAATGAAATGGATAAATAAACAATAGCGCTAAATTCAAAGGCAAAAAAGCAAATCAATATGAAATAATGCTTACCTCCAAAATGTTTTGTTCATAGCATTACGTTTCTCTGGCCTGTTCACCTCAACCTTGTAGATAAACTCCTGGGGACTTGTCACAGCGAGTGACTCAAAATTATATTTTGAAAGCCCTCCTGAAGACATGCTCCTAGCCAGAGTACTGGCAAGGCCTATGTTGGCTGTTATAACATGGAAAAAGAAAGAACTTTAATTCAGACTGACACACTTCCGAAATAAAGCAGCCAATAAGACATTGTAACCAACATTGATAATATTACAGAGTGTACATGCCTTAATAGAATTGAACAGAATACATGAATCCTTGTCCTATGACAAGTAATCATATAACTTTACAAAATACATTTCAAAAATCTAAATCAATATAATTCTCTATCACCTACACCCCTAATCATCCCCTTCTAATAATTATACAAATGGTCTTATATGGCCTAATCAGATCACATTTGCATTACCGTTTTTATTATGAAATGTATTTATTGACCCTAGACCAACGATAAGTAGCCTTGAATTTCAACCTAATGGCTAAGACTAGAGTACACTGATAATTGATAATATCAAAAAATGGGGTGAATAAAACTACTGGTAAAAAGAAAAAAATATGAGGACAAAAAACATTTTGTGAATTACCGATTGTTTATGAATTGGTCTTTTATAGGCACTATGAATATGACTGACAAAGTAAGCGGACAAAATATGCAGTTCCTCGGGTAGACAAAAGAACATCCCTTCACTGCTATTATGTAAAAAGGTTAATTCTCATGTGACACCTGTTCTACACATTTTTACATAATAGCAGTGAAGGGATGTTCCTTTGTCTACCTGAGGAACTGTATATTTTGTCCGCTTTCTTTGTCAGTCATATTCATAGTGAGGCTCACTATTCTATTTTTGTTAATTTGTTAACAAACTTATCTAGGATAACCTTTAAATTAATGAACATGATGCATGTACATCAAAGAATCAGTGTATAAATCACAAGTATTCAAGCAATTGTATTATTTTACCCAAAGTATTGAGGCTTCATTCTAATGTCACAAAATTACATGATCTTGTTAAAATGTTTGATCTGCATTTCTTTACTAAGGAAAATCATCAACAGAATCAATCAGAACAATATGTAATGAAACTATGAAAGGGGTGAAAAAAAAGAAATCAAGTCATTCTGTAAGAAAACACAATTTCATAATGAAATTCAGTTTAGGATAAATTCCTTTCGTCACATGCAACTTGTAAGCACTTCCGAAGAATTAACAACTACTGAATAGCACAGAGAAGTCAATTGATACTCTCTTACGAGACACACCATGGCATAAGTTGCCTTCCTTTTTTCATGTCCTCCAGCTATCTTTCTACACCATCACATTCACTTAAACAGGGAGTTATCCTTTTTTATATTTCAAAATTTCATGAAAATATGCCAATTATTTTGCATCTCTTATTCCCTGGTTCTATTTTCATTTTTTAAAATATTCCTAATTCATTTAACTAATTGCAGTTTTCCTTTAACAAAATTTTAACCACATGGAATTGCGACTACGGCAATGTCTTGGCGCCTCTCACCAAAATTATCGATATCACAAGATGTCTAGACAGTCTAGCTAGTACTATAGTAGTAGTGGTAAACTCTTCATAAAATGTTTAAGGAAGATCAGAGACATCTCCGTAGTTGGCGGTTAAAGTTTTGACTGTCTCGTCGTTGATTTCGAGAAACGGGCCCCTGGATCCATCACCATGTCTCGGATACCATTATGACTTTTATGTCATAAAATATGCCAGAAATCCCCCCTCCCAAGGCCAAGGTTGATCTCTTTTTTTTGTATCAGTTCTTGCCCCTCACCCCCCCCCCCCCCAAAAAAAAAACACACAAAAAACAACAACAACAACATCATTTACAAATTAACAATTCTACCTGGCTTCATCATGTCATTTCTAGTCTAGGGCTACTAATAATTTAATCTGCCTTCTCCTCTCGTGAAATAAGCCACTAGTTGTACACTTGCGTGAGCGTGTAAACTCTGTGGGGAAGTGGACCCCCCCCCTCCCCGCAACACTCTCAGGCATTTGATTTACACGCAACACGATCACGATCCTTCTCCAAGCTGAGAGACAAGAGGCTAGGTTGCCAGTTGCTGAGCCAGCATGCTGGTGTGATCGTCCTGGCCGATGATGTAGCGCTAGTCAGCTCATCTCCAACAGAGCTTCAAGAGATGCTGAATGTTACATGTAAATATGCAGAAACTTGGAGATATCGCATCAACCCGCAGAAAAGCAAGATTGTTACCTTCAATAACAAAGCTCACAAGTCAACGGCCCAACCCATGTGGATCCTTGGACAGATGCCAATCGAATCAGTGACCCAACACCCGCATCTGGGAATCATAAAGTCCTCCTCCAAACATGATCCAACAGACCTAATGATCTCCAGAGGCACAAAAACCTTCTATGCCCTCACTGGAGCGGGTGCATACACAGGAGGTCTTCTACCACACCACTGTGCACGACTCTGGAAAACATACTGCATCCCACGTATGCTGTATGGAGTGGCCATCATGAAGCTCAACCAGACAAGGCTAAATAAACTGGACAGATCCCAATACCAGCTCTTCAAGAAGATTCTCGGGCTCCCCAACAGTGCTGCCGATGATGCTGTCTATCTTCTCACAGGCCTCTTTCCTCTGAGCATGCGAGTTGACCAAGAAATTCTCCTCGTCATAGGTCAACTTATCAATCTGCCACACTCAAGATATGAGGTACGCACACTACATCATGCTATCACCAACTTCACTCCCTTGGCGAGGACCTGGGAAAGAACTTTGAGAAGTTATGAGCTCCCCAACCTTCACTCCCTCCTCTCCAAGCCCGTTCCCTACGTTACATGGAAGTCAGTCACTAGGTCTGCAATTGACTCGGCTATGCAGAAGAAAGTCCGTGAGGCCATCAATGCAAAATCATCTCTCGCCTTCTTCAAGAATAACACTAGCTCCCCCCATGACCTTTACCCGAAGTCCATCTCCTCAAGTTTTCTACGTCAAGCCATCATTGTACGCTCACAACTTCTCTCTCAGACGTACCTAACTCAATCCCGGCTGTGTAAAATCAAGAAGGGTACGATCCGATTCTGCCAAGTGTGCAAAGCGGAAGAGGAGGACATCACACACTTCATAGCCAAGTGTAAACCACTTAGGAATCATCGCCAGAAGCTGGTCGACAATCTCCACCACAGGGGCGTACAGCAGTCGACACTCGCTCTATTCAGTCCAGATGACCCTGAGACCTTCACGCGGGCAGTCCTACTTCCGAATGTTCTAACTGTCTGCCCTAACCAAAAGAATCTTCTTATTAATGCATCACTGTCATTTTTATACAATATCCACTCTGCTCGTGCTAATGCAATCGCTAATACATTTTCTACTTGACTTGACAATCCTGCCTGCTATGACAAACTGCAGTACCCTGGTAGCTGCTGATCTCCGATAGAGCGGAGGAAGAAGAAGAAGAAGAAGAAGAAGACATAACACGGGGCTCTCAGTGCATGTACGTCACCCCGAAACTCTAGGCATGCGACAATGGTGGGACACCGTTATTCGCTTGGTATATTCATCTGAGAGAGGAATGAGGCCGAGATGCACGCAGTATCACTGCTAACAACTTATTAAAGGCCTTGGTTCAACGTGTCTACCTTCCGAATAATGGTGAATTATATACTTACTCAAATTACCTTTCCTGGATGCTGACAGAATGACTTTTGCAAGGCGATTCATGATTATTTTGTAACAAAGTCGGGAACGATATACGACGATACTACAAGCGATATCGATAATTTTGCTGTTTGACGTGTCGAAACTGGCTCTCCACTTCTAGAAGTTCTTCTTTTTACCCGAAGAATTAGGTAAAAGTGAGCTCAAATATATATTTTTATTTATATTAGTATCTCAATTTCTGTTCATGAGGACCTTATTTTCTTTTTTAAGTACCAAATCTTCTCAGATTCAGGATTTAGCTTGACATGGGATTTGCTAAATATTTGCAACAGTCCCACAAGTTTACATTGATGCTGTAGGCCCAGACCTAGATCTATACAAAAATAATGTTTTAAATTGTATTTCTTTTCAGGCTTTAATCAAATATATTGGACCATGTGTATGTATGTGATTTATTGGGATAACCTGGTAGAGCAGAATACTAGTAGTCTCTATTTTTCTGCAAGACTAGAGAAAGACTTTGCAGTGAAGCCGAAGGAGGAAGAAGAGAAAAGAGATGAAAATGAAGAAGAGGAGGAGGAAGAAGAAGAAGGAAAGGAGGAGGAGGAGGAGGAAGAGGAGGAGGAGGAAGAAGATGGAAATATGTAGAAGGCTTGTACAGGTTCTAAAATATAGCTAGTGCTCGTACTTGACTACGTGATATCCGCCATCTTGGGCGGTCCTCTTTTGGTTTTAACGCGAGCCTTTCTTTTCAATAATGACATGTTGGAATTCTTTAAGTTTTGTTACTATTAACAAAGCTGTATGCCATATATTTATTTGACTCCTTAAATGATATCAATAAGGTATGCAAAATTTGCTTGGTTGTATCAAGAAAGTTTTTGTCAATCATCATCTCATACCCACAGAATACAAAGAAAGTAGATTTGTGAACCTGACTGGAAATATTATTCTGACAGATTTATGTAATAATGTGTTTGTAAGTTTGTAATGAGTTTGCTGTATGTGTGAACCGTTTTTCTGGTTATGGGACTTGTGTAACAGGTAATAATAATCTATGACTCCTGGGGGGGGGTGTTTCACAAAGATCCTAAGTTGAACTTGTCTCTAAGTTGGACTTAACAATTATGGAAAGCCATTAGCATCCTTGAAAATATTTTGTAGAAGTTATTTTAAAATGTTGATTCAAATCATTCACATTTTCTATTACATGTATCATAGGAGATTTCATGTTCTTGATGTGGAATTGATGAAAAGTTTTAAATACTTGAATTTTTGCTTTTGAATATATTTCATAATAAGGCTACAAATGGCTCTCCATAATATTTAAGTCCAACTTAGAGTTAAGTTCGACTTAGAATCTTTGTGAAACACCCCCCTGGTAGTAAATACTCATACTGTATACACCGAATAAATGTCATACTTTATTGTGCGTTGAAGAACGACATGCGTGTGTTTGTTTATTTGGAATGGGGAGCTTGTGCTCTAAAGTTTAAGGTATCCACTATCCTTCTGGAGGAAAACATGGTAGTGTTCCATATATTTGTACAAGCAACACTGTACATTGGAATAGACCTGAATAAGGGGCTATGGAGAATTTTTTTAAAGTGGGAGGGGTTGGGACAGTACTGCTGTAGTATGGAAGGTTTTTTTCTCACTCTCTCTCTTTCCTCTCTCAACATGTCAATTTCCTTATCCCTAGCTCTGCTATTTCCCTATTTCTCCTACTTCTCTCTCCACTCTTTTTTTCAAATTCTTATTTTCCTTTTTTTGTCTTCTTCTCTGTCTCTCCCTTTTTTTCCTCTCCTTAGTTTTTCTTTCTCTAAGGGTGAATTTAATCTATTTCAAAATCCATTTTGTTTCACACCACTTGATTCCTGCAATTCTCGGTTTCATGTTGTTATTGCTATCGTGATTCACATATTTTGATATCTGTTTAATCGTTTTATTGTGCATTGTGAGGGCACTGAGGGGGTATCAGTGTTCTAGATTTTTTTCTTCAGTTCAGTGGTTTTTGCATGTACCTGGGACATGGTAAGGTATGTTTTTTACGACCAAATTTGTGTAGATGGAGTTTACACAAAGATTCAAAAGAATTTGCTACCGAAAAGTTGAACCATAATGCACACTCACAAAAGTCAGGTCTGATGAAACATTCATTACACTATGTTCAACCATAATCATTAAGAAAAAGTAGTAACCTCTCGTAAGGTGTATCAGTTTTAATTCAGGCAAATGAAATTTTGACTTATTATAATATCTATCTCATTTGTCCACAGAAAATTGAGGGAAGATGACTGTTTTCAGACAACCCACAAACAAGCCAAGTCGTGGCACTGCCACCCTCATAATTAGCATTGTCCTATGCCTGGCCAACGCTCATGTAGCAAATGCTGAAGAAGCCGACAAGGATTCTTCAGATGGCTGGATGGACTACTGGTTTATCCGCTTGGGGCTGAATGTCCTTGGTTACCTGTCAGTGATTGTTCCTGCATGGTTGGTGATTAGCTACATCAGACGCTCTGGATACCTAGAGAAGGGAGGTGAGGATCCCGAAGGTACAGGGAATAAAGTTGGGTTAAGCACATATACAATGTATTGCACCAGCACTAGAGAGAGAAGTGGTGAGGAATTCACAGGTACAGGGAATAGAGTTGGGTTTAAGTACTGGTACATATACAAATTTATAGTACCAGCACTATGAGAGAGAGGAGGTGGTGAGAACTTCTCAGGTACAGGGAATAGATTTGGATCTTAATTACATTGAAAATGCTATTGCTGGCACTGCCAGCACTTTATATAAACTTTATGATAACTGAATTATATCCCAGTTCATGCATCCTACTTTTGCATGAATTGATATACTTAAAGGGCAAAAAAAAACTTACCGGTACTTCCAATAGAAGCAGAAAAGTCAGACAAACCAATCAAAAAATGTTTGAGCAAAATTTGATAACTAATAAGAAAGTTATGAATTTTTGATGACATGAAAAACTTTGAAAATCACAAGACAAATTGGCAACTCACTCATGAGTCTATGACGTCATTTCCTCACTATCCACTAATTGTTTTCTTTATATTGATAATACAAATTACCAATTTTCTTTCTAAAATCTTATTTCCTCACACCAGCATCCAAGTTATATTGATAGTAATATGTTTTTGTGTGGACGCACTAATATAGAGTAATTTATTTCATTCAAATCATGACAAATGTGAATTTTGATAAAATATTTATATAAGAATCAATAATTATGAATTTTGAATGACGTCACAAACTGATAACCAAATTCGCAATTTGTGTAGCGATTTTCTAAGTTCCGTAGTTTTTCATACTTAAAAAAAAATCATAACTTCCTTATTAGTTATCCGATTTTACTCAATTTGTTTTGCTCCATTTCTCTAGTTTTTCTACATGAATTAAAGGTTAATTATTTTCGGACTGGACTTAGCCTTTAAATCATGTCTCGTGTAATCTTCAAATAATCAATATTTTTTTAATTGTTGGTAAATTTTATTTTAAGTTCTCTATAATTTTGTAGAATTAATGGGGAAGAAGTATTGCCATGGGCCTGTTGACGAGTCCCTTTTTCCTTTATGCACATTGTCCATTACTCCATTCAATTGTGCCACTTTTTCAACCTTTATTATGATTATCTCAAATACGTTTGTACAGGTCATGGCTGTTGGTATCAGACTGTCAAATCATGTGTAGCTGGGTTGGATGAAATCAAGTCAAGCCTTGAGGAAGGAGGTAGCAAAGGTGTGGTGACAGAAACACCAAAGGTAATTACAACACAGCTTATCTATTGTGCTTTTGTATGATTTCATTTATTTAGTACTTTAAGTTTCCATTTCAGTTCATTAATATATTCAGATTACCGTAATCACATTGTAGTCATAATGCAAGTTTTTTTTCCTGTTTGATATGTCATTAGTAGGTGTTAATTTTTGTGTGAAGGTGACAGCAAAATTTCAGGCTTTTGAAATGCAGCTATGCTGAAAACCATGACATATACACAAATATCAATACTACTTTAAATTGGTAAGGGATTGCCAACTTTAGAATCAAGTTCTATTGACTATAAATATAGGTGATTAGGTGATACATGTATATGGATCATTACATGTTTTTTTTAATTTTTTAAATTATTATTTTAATTAATTAATTAATGAGTAGGAGCTTAATCAGTATATTAAAAGCAAGAGTGCTTCTTTCATATATTGCCCTTCTGTATGAAAATTTAATTTTTCTTTTTTTATTTGGATAATGATGTTTAGTACTTATGTACATTTAATTTTACTTTCAGATGAACCGTGGCTTGGTGTTGCTGTTTTGTGTGGCTGGCTTGCAAGGGTCCTACCTAGCTTGGGGAGTCCTTCAAGAACGTATCATGGCACATGAGTATGGCAAAGATGCAAACAATCCTGGAGAGAAATTCAGCAACTCCCAATTCTTGGTTTTCATGAACCGTGTTCTTGCTTTCATAGCTGCTCTGTGTGTCATGAACTTTACTGCTCAACCACGCCATACTGCACCTCTGTACAAGTATTCCTACTGCTCCTTGTCCAATATCATGAGTAGCTGGTGTCAGTACGAGGCTCTCAAGTTTGTGACCTTCCCCACTCAAGTCCTGGCCAAAGCTTCCAAGATCATTCCTGTCATGCTCATGGGCAAAGTTATATCAGGGAAAACATATGAGTACTACGAGTACATCACTGCTGTGATGATCTCTGTTGGTGTAGCACTATTCTTGTTGTCACAGGGAGGGGATCACAAGGGGTCAACCGTGACAACAATATCAGGGGTCATGATCCTGGTTGGTTATATGGCCTTTGATAGTTTCACCTCTAACTGGCAAGCAGACCTGTATAAGACTTACAAAATGTCCAGTATTCAGATGATGTTTGGTGTCAACCTCTTCTCCTGCCTTTTCACAAGTTGGTCTCTTATAGAACAAGGTGGGTTTTTCGAGGGAATCGGCTTCATGCTCAAATACAACACCTTCATGTTTCATGTGGGACTACTGTCGCTGTTTTCAGCCACAGGACAGCTCTTCATTTTCTATACCATCTCCCAGTTTGGTGCGGTCACCTTCACCATCATCATGACGACTCGTCAGGCCCTGGCTATCCTCCTATCCTGCATCATCTACGGCCATCCCCTCAATATCCAGGGCATCATGGGCATTCTAGTGGTATTCGTGGCTCTCTTCCTCAGGGTGTATGCAAGACAGCGTAAGTCAGGGCAAAAGGCCAAACCTGCACCTGCTCAAGAATCATCCATTGGTCCAAATAAGACATGACTAGGCAGCCGTACTCGTGATTTGTAAGTTGTGCTGTGATGTAGTGCTAACCTTGTGCCATGTTCAGATGATAGCTCTCCTCTTGAGAGAAACTGACACTCTAGAGTAAACATGTGAGTAGTACACCTGTACAATGTTGATGCACATGGTAGTAAATTTCTATACATGTGTACTCAGAAATATTTACTTTTAAGGTATCATGATTGGAACCATTACTGTCAAAGTAAGCCTCTGAATATTATTTATTTGTAACCAGTTCAGCAACTTTCAAGTACATGCTAGCATAACTTTATAATTTTGTTTGGTTCATCAGTGCTTTCTTCTCCATTTACTCAGTTGAATATTTGCAAGCTTACTCTGAAGGTTAGTTTCTTTCAAAGCTAAAGTGATCATCTAGACATGGCTCCAATGACCTTTGTAAATAACTAATTGTATATTTGGACGTTATGAGTGTTTCAAATTGAAAGTCTTGACATTCAAAAATTGTCTTTCTGCTTAATGTTATAACTGTGAATATTGAAGTGTATGCACATTTCAAGCTAACAAGAATGAACCTGCATTGTACAAAAGAAAAAAAATTATTTTCAGCTAGAGATATAATGTAATGGAGGTACCAAAGTTTGGCAATATATCGCTAGATGATAACATTTAAAAAAAAATTACTTTGTGAATATAATATGTATATTTCCTGCTGTACACTGTACAAGTATATACGTATGGTATCTGCTTTGCTGCCAACCATTCATATTTTGAAGGAATTCTATAATTCTCTCTTTTACTGAAAACTTCTGTGTAAAAGCATCTAAAGTAGATTAATAATAATTGTGATTTGTATAGCGCATAATAATCATTATAGACAATCCTCTATGCGCTCCAAATTGCATTCCTAATTTTGCCTCGAGAGATTCTTATTTGTTTCTATGAAAGGTTCGTATGTATTTGAATGAGAAGAGTTGGCTTAAGCTGGTTGGATACCACAACATCAACTACATTTGATTTCTCCATAAAGTGCAATTTCTGTTGATTTTATTCCAAGTTGAGTACTGGCTGAGTAAAATGTAGTTGCACCTAATTTTTTTACATTCAACCATTTTATTTGGCTTCTCTGGGACCTTCTTAACTGGGGGGGGGGGGGGGGGGGGCAGGTATGCTCTGGTGTCTTTACTCCTAAGTCCTAACCCTAGTCCTGGAAAGTTAGGTTAGTCAGATATGTTTTTTGTTATTTTAATAGCAATTATGTGCGACTACATTACAAAACTAAGCTGAACATGTATCTCTTGATTACTTTTAAACAATTAAAACAGTGAGAGTCACCATACTTGGGGTTTGTGCATCAATATTAATTTGAGGATGGTACAAACATTTTGTTTATGTACCGGACTACCGGTATATTTTTGGTAACAGCAGTAGTTCTCAGTTAATTCTGAATCTACATAACTGTTCTCAGTCTGAACAGTAATGGGCGTTGAAATCAGGTTGATTACTCTCAGCAGTGATATTAATTTTGATTATTTGTAGTTTCTGATTTGCTTTACTCTTTAACAAGACTAGTTTTTCACAATTGAATACTGTAATTTAGTTAACATTCTTTAAAAAGTTATTTTATCTGTGTGCTTAAGGATTGAGCAAAGTATATATGCTTGTAAGAAAGCTCTTTAAGATATTATTTATGTGTATATTAGTTCTTAGATATAATTGTGAATTGTGACAGAGTGCTGCTCAATTTGAAATGCTTCAAGAGGCTATATCTAAATGAATTGGAACTAAATATCGCAAGCTTGAATTTGAAGAAGACTCACCAAATAGTTACTCTTCAACAATCAGGATATTTGTGGATTCTTCAGATATTTATATTTGTCTGTGAGTGGTGTGTATACTGATTGAGTTTTCTTTGGCAATTTTTAATAATAAGTTTACTTGATTAGTTTTGATTAATTTCTTCATAGATTTTTAAGTGTGCTTAAGATAAATTACCAATAAGGGTGTATAAATCTTTGGTGATAGGTTAAATGAACTGAATTGTTTGCATCAGATTGTATTAAATTGATGCACTTGCATGAAACTGCAAGACTATTATTATTGGGCAATGCCATACAATGTGCCTTTTACAACAAATTTCATTTTCCCAAATAGTTCATCCAAAAATGAAGAATACCTTGATAAGACCATTCAATAGTGGTGCTTTGCACTGCTTTATGGTATCACTACCATGAGTTGTGTTGGTATACTAATACATTTTTCATTCATGGGTAAAATATATGACAAAATGTCATATGTTGTATGGGACACATTGCACAGATTGCCCTATTATGCCTCTCATAATTTGTGCTGAATATTTTGACTTGCTGTAGTGAGTTAAAATACTACATTTCTATTTTATTTTGCTCTATTTTCACAGATTTGTTACTATAAAGAAAATGAGATTCTTATATGTGAAGGTTTAAAGTGACTACTTTAGTCGGTGTTTCACTGCCTATTGAATTATGTGTGCTTCAAATGAAAGAAGGAATCAGAGAAATAGATTGGTGAATGTTTGAACAAAATCCAGAGTACAATTAGAAAATTAAGAATTTTTGAAGTTGAGATCACTGAAAGATGGAAATCTCAAATTGGTAGTTTAATAATGACAGTCATTCAAAAATGAATAAAGTTACACTTTTCTCAATATAAAGGAGACTTAACAACATGATATAGGTAATATATCTGGAGTACAGCTCCAAGTGAAAAATCTACTCGGACTACAGTACTAGACTACAGATAATGTATGATACGTTACTGTAAAAATGAAAAGGAAAGTTTACCTAGAATGGTATGACCAATTGCCCTATTTTTTATTCTTGTTCACCCTAAAAAATTAAACATTCATTTTTTTTCTGATTTCATCTGATTTTGGTTAAACTTTTATCAATCTATTTTGTTCAGCCATCGCCAAGGTAAATTTAGTGTGATTCTTGGATTTCTTTTTCTTGTGGGGGGGGGGGGGGGGGGGGGGAGACACATCACATTACTACTGTAGTCAATGTGTTATACCACTTGGATTGATGAAGCAACTTGTCATTTGTGTAGGTTACATCGGAAACAGTAGTTTTGGGCTTCTATTTCTATTGTATTATTTTGACTTTGAGAATTTCACGTTCAGTATTATGATTGTACCAGCATCTTGTTCTTCATGTAGATACGTGCTGCTATTGCAGTGCAAAGCGGGGAATATGATGATACATTATACATAATACAGATATAGCTCACAGAAATGTATTTTTCAGATAGAGTAGTAAAAGGTGATTTTTCTTGGAGAATAATAAATACATTTACAATGGAATTAAAGATATTCTGGTGCTTGGATACTATTGAATGTTAATACATGTTTGTACTTGTAAGTTTTTCTTTAAGTTTGTGTTTGAATATTATACTCTTTCTCTCTCTTTCTCTCTTCCCCTCTTTCTCTCTTTCTCTCTTTCTCTCTTCCTTGCTATCTCTGAAGATTGGGGATCTCAAACATGCACACAGGCCTTTCTTATCACAGACAACATCCCTCTCTTTCTTCACAACACTATGAAAGAGACTTTTTATTTCACTCTTTGGGTTTTAATAATAATAAATGCAAGACATAAATAAAAGAAGTGCAATTCATGTACAAAATTAAGAATATGTATGCATCTGTAATTCTACTTTTTTTGCAGACTTTTAGATACTGACTACCTGTCTTGGCAGGCATTTGAATCCCCCTTTCAGCGCCATTTGATTCATTTATCATGACTGAAAATATTTTAAAACCAATGCTACAAGAGAAAACAATTTTTTTTGCAAAGCTCTGGTAAAGCTGTCATGAAGGGAGATCAGCCCCTCAAAAAGACTTGTACAACACTCTCACCAATACACTCAACTGGTTGTTGCAGCATTTAGTAACTCTTTCATAACTCATCATTATATTCATACTACAACCCCCCCCCCCCCTCCCTCTACATGTACACTCTTCTCTCCCACACCATCTTTTCCCTCCCTCTTCTCTTTCAGCTTCTGCCCCCTCTCCATCTCTGTATGTCTCACCTTCCCAAAGATAAACAATATAAAACAAAAGTAAATGTGATACTCAAATAGAGCTTTGTGGTCATTGTATCTTTAATGTAACATCATACAAGTTATAGTAAGTCAATTAGAAACAAATAACTACACAAATTTGAAAAATATAAACTTTATAAAATTTACTTAAATGTCTTTTTCATAATCTGCTGAAAGCCAAGCAATCAAATGCATGCAATGGTTTCACTAGCTTATACCAAGTTTCCTAACTTGTTATTGATTAAATATGTTTGACATGTAGGCCCGGAGAATTCAGAAATCAGAATACAGGGGCAGTTTAATATCAGGAATAAGGACAGCCAGTATTATCATAAGTTGCACTAGCGTTGGGGCATACAAATGCAACTTGAGTTAGCCTTGGCTGTACCAGGTCCACTGATATGTTCATGGAGCATGGAGCATCAATGCCATGGAATATCCTGCTGAAAGTCATGAAATTAAAATAATGACATGGTCTGTGTTTATAACTTTATAATTATGGTAATTTATGGGAACAAACGGGGGTACAATGGGCATTTCATCAATCAGTTGATTATTAAACTCTGGGTAGGTTAAGCTTGACTATAGTTGGCATGCTCTCATGAATACATGTTCCTGTTAGAGTGCCTAAATAAAGAAGTATCAATTAGAAAGTTTTGTTGTCTCTTTAAAAAAGAAATCCCATTTCCTAGGTAAGCATGGATTTCCCAATAGATCACCTTGACTTTTGAAGATGAATCAAATTTCTTAGAGCAATGCAAAACAAAAATGCATAGCCATTGTATGGTTAGAGTTGTGAATAATCTAGTCTTTAACAGCACACAGCCATGTCAGGGGAACCTCATATGAGAAGCGTGGTTGACCGTCATCATAGGGGATATGCCAGCTCTTATCTGTGGACTGTATCACAGTGTCATGAGCCAGATTTTCCTGCAGTGAAAAGTACAGAAGAGTAGTTGTAACATTAGTGATCCAGACATAAAATTAAAGGTTTCTTCTATTTCCCATTTGTTTTCTTCCTTTGACAGTGTAGACCACAGAAAGTATATTGTCGTGCTGTTTCCTAAATGTCCACAATTTTGTGTTTGAGATTTGAACAAATTTAAATTTGTATATTGATTTTTTTATTCTAAACTTTAGTAGAGTCCAGTGCATCAAACCACATTGGAGCATAGCATCTTCAAACAATCCTAGGCAAATCATAATTTTGAATAATTACCCTATATTACATAGCTAATTGAAAGAGATACACGTAACATGGATATGATGATGAAAGATTTCTGCACTCGATCAAAAGTTTGTATTTTGACATTTTGGTAATAACCTATTCAATACAATCTAGAACAATCAAATGACCTCAATAAGGTTTTTCTTTCCAAAGAATGGCACAACACAAAGAAGGAACTATTTGAGGCTCCATAATGTGACTGACCAATTGGGAGTGACCTCCACTCACATACTCACATGTACCTATCTCTCTCCCTCTCTCTCAATTAGCTATTGGATAGCATATTCATTGCAAATGTATAAAACTTGTGATCATTACCTTGAATATTGCTTTTCCTTCTCTAAAGTCCACAGGAGAGAGCTGCTGGGTACGTTGCCATTTTATGAATGACAGATGAGCTTCAGGACTCAGTAAGGCTTTGTGATCTCGGAGCAGATCTCTACTGACATACTTGGTCTTTGTACCACTGTGCATGGTGGCGTACAGCATGAAAGGGTCATCCTCTGACCTGTAGGGGTTAGGATACAAGGGTTTAAAGGTCATATCTGCAGAGAGGTGTATGGAATATTATTATCTTTACCATCTGGCAAACACTTACATGGAAATGATATACAATAATATCTTTCACTGTTTAGCACTTGAAAAGCCATGCCTTTACTCACATAAGTTGGGTTTGTAATCTCTGCGGGTACATTAAATACATTTCAATTTGTCCATACACTACAATAATAATAATGGAGCTTGATATTTACATGTTTTGTGTAAAGAAGCAGTCAGCAAGGTCTTGTATGACAGCCATGTCACCTTTCTCAAACTGATTTCGTTGTTTCAGCATGTGATGTCTCCCAAGGACAAGACAGCTGTAGCCAAGCTTCTTGGTAAGGTACTCCACAAATTGTCTCAGCTGGGAATGAGAAAACATAATGTAGCTGTGAATAATGTGCCAGGATGTAGCAAGCCTTTGAAAGTGGTCTTTAGATAATAGATAGAAAAACACGAGTTTCCTTTAAAAAAACTATTTGGCCTATACTCTAATAACTCAGTTCAAGCTGACACGAGGACTAAGTCAAGTTAACAAAGGGGAAACTCAGACCTCAGTCTAACTTTACAATTTAAATTGGACTTTCCACCGAGTTTAACCAAGTGTAGGGTTTATATTTTATACAATACAAGCAATTATGTTGGCCCAGAAATACGACAAATACTCTTTGAATAGTAATACAACTTTACTGACAGTCATATTCTCTGCAAACTACCTCACTCTCACTTCTAATACAAAATAAGATAATATAATACATTTATGTACATAATAACAAGTCTTATCTACAAAAATAATATCACTTAATCAATGATCTTGAGGAAGAGTACAAATAACTATCAGACATAATTTTGTTTGGAATTAACATACCACTTTACCCGGTGACTTTCTCTTCTTGAGTTTAGCAACATTAAGACCATCTATGACAATGTCATATGAAGGTCCAGAATCAATGAATTTCATGAAGGCATCTAGCTCTTCTGGGGTTGTCTTCCTGAATATGTCTTTGCCTCTGATTACCTAATAATATACATTGAAAGAGAGAGAGAGAGAGAGGAAGAGAGAACAAAGAGAGAAAGTTTTTACAAAAGAGTTTCCAATCACAAACGAGACTGGATACAAGTACACAACATGGAGTGAAAGAAAGGGGCTCAGTACCTTCCTTTTAACAATTGTTCTCCTCCTGGAAACTTTGTTACAACGTATTACAGTCAAAGTCAAACAAACAAACCTATCTTAATAACTAAAGCAAATCTATTTCAAAATAGAGATTGGAATATATATTATAGCAAGGGAAAGGAGGAAAAATAAAACATGAAGGGCTAAGAACTACATGTATCATCAACTTAAAGCAAAGGGGATGCCAATATGATAGAAAAGGTAAGCACAAAAATATCAAAGCAATGAAAAACCTTGACATTGAACTCTACATACCTTACTAAAGATCTCTTCTCTAAGATTGTTGAACTCTTCTCCACTTGTCTGTAGAGGTTCAAGATGACTAGAGCAAGACTTACAAACACCTGTATGACTGATCTTGGTGTGAGAAACTTTCCATGTCTCATGCTGCTTGCTACAGGAAAAGTAGTAAAAAATAAGCTCTATTACATAATACAAGCAAGACACCTAACATTTACAACGTATGTTCCATTAAAAACAAAATCTTAACAGCTATGCCAGGGCCATCTGTCTAAGGCCTGTTTTGCAACTACTATAATGCATTCTGATTACGTGAAAAGATTTTTATTTTTTGAAATCTAAATGGTTTATTCTTCATCAATTGCATCAATTAAATACCAAGAAATAAAACCCATCTGTCTCTAATTGTGTTCATTCAATCACATGTTCTTTCTGTTTCAATTTCACTAATGTCACTTATGAATGATTGTGCAAAAGAACTTTACAGTAACATTACCAAAAGAGACATCTAAATTACGATGGATGTTGGATTTCACATGTTAGCAATGAAATGAATACCCCCAAAGAAATCACCTCTTGAACCAGTTGCCCAGTTCCTCTGCAACATGTTGTGAAGGAAAGTGCCTCTTTGCCCTCTTGTAATCCAGAAGTCTTGTCACTATGTGCTCATTGTCCTCCAGAACAGATTCGTCATCTGCATTGCTTTTGAAGGTTGCAATGATTTTCAAAGCACTAGCATCCGTCGGAATGAGATCTTTTGAGTAGTGATCCTCGAGCAGAGATTTGGCAAGACTTTCATCACCATGCTCACAAGCAGCTATCAGGTAAGGTTCTAGGATTCTTGAAGTAACACAATCAGCATCAGCAGCCCTAGCAATAAAGCTATGGCTCTGCTGCCACCTGTCTGTCAAGCATAGACCTGACACAGCATTGGCTATGGTTCCCTTGTCCATCATGCCCTGGTTCTCCTCCAGCCAATCCACACACCAAAGGATCCCTTCAAGATCTTGACATGTTGTACACATGAAAAGACATTTACTCACTAACTGACTCTTCATGACAGTGTGCTCATCCTTGATGAAAGCAATGAGAGACTTTGCTGAAACTGGGAATGGTTGTGCAGCAATTGATTCCATGGCATGCAGCTCATATTCAAATTCTGTTCTTGCTATGTATTGCTTTCTCCGTTGCTGCTGCTCGTCTATCCACTTGGTTTTCATTTGTTTCCACTGATCAGCTGTAAACCATTGGTCTTTTGAAATTTCCAAAAGCCATCTACTTCTTCTCGACCCAATTTCTCCTCTGTGCTTATCAACTTGAGTCAAAGTGCTTTCACTTGACAATGTCCTCTGAGGCAGGAATATGTGCGATGGGCCTGCATTTGCTTTCAAGTAATAGGGAGATATATAATCACATTTCCCTCTTTGGTTTGTGAACACAGATTGGACTATACTAATTTGTGAAATACACAGAGATGTCCTACTATGAAATCTGAATGATCCAGCTCTTTCTTGAAACGAAAGCTTATTGACCAAAGACTTCAGTTGAGCACTTCTGGAAGCCATTTGCTTTACGCTACATACTGAAGAAAGAAGGGCCATCATATTTCATTAGCTTAAATGTATAAATATCTCAGTTGTGGAGGGTTCATTACTGTACAACATTCCAGGATGTCCTCCAAATTCGAGTCATATCAGGTAATCTCATACAATGGTTCCTTTGAAAAAAAAGTTAAATGATACCTTCTACTGTTCTAGTAGTCTCTGAAAACAGCAGTCTTGGCACACATACACCTTATAAGACCATCAGTTCTGAAATAGCAATACAAAATTTAAATCAGAACATTTTATAGAATGCATTTCTTGTCTTTCTGAAGTTTCTTCTTATCTTTCTTATACTTCATAGAAGGTAGGCTTTGAGTATATAGAAGCAGAAACACAAGATAAACATTTATGTAACATGTATTTGAAAATTGATAAAAGCAATGACATCTATAGTATAGGGCACCTCCAATTGGTCAATGCAGTCATTATGTCACACATTGATAACACTCATTTATTCATAGTATCCCCCTTTTCCATTTTGGTTATCAAACATACTTTTTTTCTATGATACCTTAGGTTTGATATTGTAACGATCCGCTCCGCGGTCGTGACGTAACAAAGAGGCCTAACTTAAATGATTGTTGTTTTCAAGCGCGTCATCATACACCGACGCACAATGTTTACGTTAATAATTTGCATACGAGCGATTGACATTTGGATCCATTATTGAGATGCTTTTAGATGTTATACTGTAATTGTTTATCAATCTATCACATGAATTTGGATGGAAAGTTGTTTAGACAATGTAACTTGTTAATATTTACTGCAACTATGTCATTCAGAGTGTTGTATTTAATTAATGGTAAAATAAGAGATTTACTTAGATATTTTGCTCTGAACTAGCACAGTCTTCATGTTAAGTCCATTTTCGCTGCGCGCGTACTCTTCAAGATCGCTTAGCGCATCGATTTCCCCCACGTCCGCATTATGCCTTTATAACCCGTAACATTTCTAAAACGGGAGGAGTTGGAATTGGACGCTCGTCGGAATCAGAACTATTAGTCTCTCCCTGGAAATCCCCCCCACCTAAGGACTTGTCTTGGAATTGGGCACTCGTCGGAACTGGTACCACACATAAGATCTCTCTCCCTCCCTGGAATATAAAGGTACACAAGGAAGTCTACGCTGGAATTAAGATGCTGGAATTAATGAACCACTATTATTAAGATGCAGGAATATTATAAGTCCACCTCTCCCCCTATGATGCTATGGAATTAAACTAAGAGGAAAACTCCCAAGTCCCATAAATCCCAATGAATCATTGCCCTTCACTTTATTACATGTATTCGAATATAATAACGACAATCGTATAAATTTATTAAGTATAACTATAAGCACAAGGTATTTGTGACAGTGGTGATATAAAGATGTAAATATTGGAAGTACATGCATTAATAAAAGTTGACCATTTTCTTTTGTCTTGAAACTGAAATTATGAGTCTATAAACACTTTGTCCTTCTTGACTGGTACTCCTTCATAGTCGTATATTTCGACGAAACGAACGTAAATAAGTATTGTAGCTTCCCCCGTCTTTCCTCAAAAGATAAGATCTAATTACTCTAACCGCTCGGACATACATTATAAATAATGTCGGCTGACGAATATCCTGACAGATATAAAGAATCAGTTTCCCCAGCTGGGAATGAGAATAATCCCGACGTAGAGGTCGAGGTTGGAGACGGAGGCGGGGGCGGCCGCCACAAATTTGGTGTCAGAAGTAGGATTATTAATATGGCGGAGGTACCAGAGTCTAAGAAAGAAATAGATGAGCTAAGTTGCTCCTCAGATGAGACAATGTCTAGTACAAAAAGTTCAAAGAAAAAGAAGAGTAGGTCAGAGAAATTACAAAGTCGGATATTAAGTCAACTAACGAAGTTAATGGGGCAAATGATGAAGTTGACAAAGAAACCAAGGAAGAGGACTGTTGGCCCAGACTCCTCCACGGAAGAACTATCTGATTTTTCAGATGATGAAGTGGAATTCAACTTCAAACCAAATAGACGACCGGAATTAGGAATGGAAATCCAAAATAGAGACGAGGAAACATAAGGAAGAAACTAACCAGATGAAAGCACAAAAGAGGAATGATGATATTCGCCATGCCAAAGAAGATAGAATTCGGGAAACTACTCATCGACCACTGATCATGCCGGACAAGTATGATGGAAGTACCGACTGGAAAGAATACGCCTCGCACTTTGAATCTTGTTGCGGAATCAACAACTGGAAAGATGAGGAATCTGCCAAGTATCTAGCTGCTAGCTTGAGAAGTCAAGCTCTGAGATTACTAGAAGAACAAAGAGGCACCAAGTGGAACTTTGAAGAAATAAAGAGTAAACTGTCATTCAGGTTCTCTTCTGCCAAACAGGCGGAAAGCTATTTGTTGGAACTTAGGAATCGTAAGCGACGTCAAGGAGAATCACTTCAGGAACTAGGACGTCATATTAGGGAACTCACTGATAAGGCATATCCAAACTTTGAAAGTCAAGGGGTCGATAGACTAGCTAGGATTCATTTTACTGATGCTATTCGTAGTAGTGAGATTCGTATGGGAATATTTCATGCTAAGGCAACAAGCTTAGATGAGGTAATTCAAGCCGCAATAACCACTGAGACATTTCTACAGACGGAGACTGAGAGGAATGGATGGAAGGTTAAGCCTACTTACAATAGAGGAATCGGCTCTGAAGTGGATCTCGAGAAGATGATCAAAGATGAAATTAACAAAGTCCTAGGCCAAGCCATGGAAAGTCAACCTAACAAGGAAAGATGTCAGGGATATGTGAAGAAACCAGGAACTAATCAAAGACCAAGTCAAACAGCGCAAGGAAGATTTGATGTGAAAACCCAAACATGTTTCTATTGTGAGAAACCTGGCCATTTCGCAAGAGAATGCCGTGAGAAACAAATGGATCGAAGAGGAAGGAACTATCCAAGTGATGAATCTAACTGGTCAAGACAAAGATACCAGCGTCAGTCAAACGACAAGTGGTCGCCCCAAAGGGTCGTGGCGCGGCCAATCGTCCAAAATTAATTGAGACCCAACCTAGCAAAACAAAGACAAGTTTCATACCCAGTATAAATCAAAATGTTGATGGTCTTTATGTTCCAGTGCACATTCAGGACAAGGAATACAAATTTCTAGTTGATACTGGTGCTTCAGATTCTTACATTTCTAGACGATCATATGAACAATTAGATGAAAAAGATAGACCCCCTCTGCAACATCGTAGCATAAGTGCACAGTTAGCAGATGGTTCACCATTAGCCATTTATGGAGCAATAACTCATGAGATGAAGATAGGACCAAATAAAGGAGTAATTACAGTTTTGGTAGCAGATGTGAGTAGTGATGGAATCCTCGGCTTGGACAATCTAACAAGAATGGGGGCTAGCATTGATCTGACTAATTTCCAACTCACCACAAAATGGGGCAAAGTAGAGTGCAAGAATGAAAGTGGAGAAAGACTATCCTGCCGCATAACTGCGTCAGAAACTACTACAATCCCCGCAGGACATGAAGCTGTAATACTTGGATCAATGAAGGAAGGAGATCGAATTAAACCTAACACCCTAGGTTTAATAGAGGCTGGAAATGTTCAACAACAATTAGTGAAGAAAGGACTCATTACAGCTAGAACTCTAATCAAGACAGGGGAGGAGTTAGTGCCTGTTAGAGTATTCAACCCATCTACTTCCAACAAAGTAATAAAGAAGAACACACCAATCGCTATGATGACCGTAATAGATACAAGTGAAGTACAAGAAGTCCCCAAGTACACCACTGTTGGTGATGGAAAAGTTCCGGAACATTTGAGGGATTTGCTAAAGAGAAGTACAGAAGGAATACCAGATCAGTATCGCCAAGACGTGGCAAAGTTATTGACGGAATTTCAGGATGTATTCTCAAGAGGAGATGATGATATTGGAAGGACTAATTTGGTACAACACAAGATAGATACTGGAACTCAGCGACCAATTAGACAACGACCACGCAAGCACCCTTTTGGGCAGAGAGACGAAATCAAGGAGCAAGTGGAAGGGCTACTACAGAAAGGTCTTATTGAACCAACTGATAGTCCATGGGCTTCAAACATTGTACTCGTAAAGAAAAAGGACGGAACTCAGAGATTTTGCGTGGATTATCGGCAACTGAATGCTGCCACGATCAAGGACGCCTACCCCCTACCTCGTATAGACGAAACATTGGATGCTTTGTCAGGAGCGCAGTGGTTTTCAACCCTGGACTTGGCAAGTGGATACTGGCAAGTAGGCTTAATACTTGATACTTGATGTGGTAATCCCTGAAGCAGCTTTTCCAAGCTATACTGGGATGGGATGTGTTGTGACAGCAGGTGAAGGTGCAGACAACAAAAGGGTGTACAATTTCTTTATACAGTAAAATAGTGACGTGCAAGTAAAAATAATCATGCTGCTATATGGTTTACAATATTCTGGAACCTACAGCAGGTTCCAACCCTCTGATGACAGGGAGGGCGGTCATCTGGAAAGCAGCAACTGATGGGGCAGTAACTGCAGTGAATGGTAGTTGATTCCAGATGCGAATGGTGCGGGGGTAAAATGAGTACTTGTAGGAGTCGATTGTTGCCTCAGGAACAGAGAGCTTGAGTGTGTGGTCTCTTCTGCTGATGTATGTAGCTTTGGTTATGAGGTGAGGAAGACAAATGTTGACTAGCTGGTGGTGTATTTTAAAGAGCATGGTGCTTTGTGCTAGAAGACGACGTGTGTGCAGTTTATCCCATCCCAGCTGGGAAACAAGCCCTGTAGCTGACGTGGATCTTCGGTAGTCGCGGAAGACAAAACGAGCAGCTGTTTTCTGTATCCTTTCCAGACCTTCGGCAGCACCAGAAGTGTGAGGGTTCCAGGCTTCAGCGCCATACTCTAGCTGCGGTCGAACCAGGGCTGTGTATGCTCTTGATTTCACATCCTTGGTGCATGGTGACAGGGTTCTCCGCAGCAACCCAAGGGTTTTGTTGGCCTTGTTCAGTAGGAGTTGGCAGTGTGTATTCCATCGAAGGTCCTTGCTTAAGCAAAGATGCTAAGGAAAAATCAGCTTTCGTAGCTGATGGTGGACTCTACTCATGGAACGTGATGCCTTTTGGACTTTGTAACGCCCCAGCCACTTTTGAGAGATTGATGGATAAAGTACTAACCGGATTGCATTGGGAGACATTACTTGTCTACTTAGATGATTTGATTATCTTTGGTAAATCGATACCAGAGGAACTTTCACGGTTACGTCAAGTATTCTATAGACTACGACAAGCCAACTTAAAGTTAAAACCAAGGAAATGCTTTCTGTTCAGGAAGAAGGTGTCCTATCTCGGACATGAAGTATCAAGCAAGGGAGTCTCAACACAGCCAGAGAAGGTTGAGTCTGTAAAAACATGGCCGACGCCGAAGAATGTGACGGAAGTTAGAAGTTTTCTCGGTCTTGCATCCTACTACAGACGTTTTGTTGAAGGTTTTGCTAG